CTGCGAACAGAGTCAGCCAGCAATCCGCGTGGACCGACTTCTCTGTCGATAGCAACGACCCGCCGCATCACCGGATTTCGGCTTTCAACGACGTGCTGCCCATGCCCAAGCCGCCGTACGCTGCTGACTCGCTGTATGCCTCCAGCAGAGACTCGTCGGCTCGTCAAAGCCAGCACTACAGCCCCGATGTCCCATCCGCGGAATTTGCCAACGCTCAGCCCTTGGAGCCCGCGACCACGCAAGCGGAAGCGCAGCCTGCGGCGGAATCTGGAGAGGCTCAGCCGGTGGGACGAGCCACGATCCATCAACTGCCCGAGCTGGACACCGGGGAAGGATTCTCTGTCCCGTATCCCGACGCCAGTTACCCCTGGCCTCCAAAGGAACGCAAAGAACGCAAGTCTGTACCGCGCCCCGAGCATGAACCGCCGCCAGTGCCCGCTTCCAAGGCTGGATACGATGCGCGACGGACGGCAGTCAGCAGTTTCTACGCCGATACTCTTCCCGGCAGCACCCTGGTCGGCTCTCGTCGCCAGAGTGAGGAGGGATCACGGCCCGTTTCCACGCCGCATTCCATCGACCACATGTCCATCGAGACCAGAGACCAATCTCTTGGCGGCCAAACCCCGATAGAGCCGACATCGACGCCACTGAAGGATGGCCCCACTGGAAAGGAAAGGCACCGGCTTGTGCAGCGGCGAAACGTCATCAAGGAGCTCATCGACACGGAAGCAGTCTTTGTCAGGGACATGAACATCGTGGAAGAGATCTACAAGGGCACGGCAGAGGCCTGCCCGAGACTCGACGACAAGACGATCAAGCTCATCTTCCGCAACACTGACGAGATCATCAGCTTCCACACAAACTTCTTGACCCAGCTTAAGGAGGCTGTGGTGTCAGTGTATGTTCCTCATGCGCGTCGGTCGCCGCTGCCGAGGGAGGACACGGCGGCTGCTGCTGAGGGAGCATCGTCCAACGGCTCCGCTGCTCCTGAACTCAGCGACGACAGGGACAGAGCCACGGCGATCGGTCCCGTCTTCAAGAAGCACATTGAGGACATGAGGGTGGCACATGAAGGGTTCTTGAGGAACAGCGACCACGCCGCAAAGCGGTTGATCCAGATCCAGCAAGATCCGACGGTCAAGGTCTGGCTGAACGAGTGCAATGAAGTGGCTAAGGACCTCACGGCAGCTTGGGATCTGGACTCTCTCCTCATCAAGCCCATGCAGCGTATCACGAAATACCCGACCCTGATCATGACGCTCCTGGCACACACTCCTCAGGACCACCCTGACCGAGCGGAGCTCATCTCGGCAAAGGAGGTGTTGGAACTGGCCATCATTGAGATCAACAAGACCAAGAAGAACTTTGAGCTCGTGGGACAAATCGTCGGCCGCAAGAGGAAGGAGTCTGATGTCAAGGCCGGCTTTGCTCGAGCCTTTGGCAAGCGGGTGGACAAGCTGCAAGCTGCCAGCTCCAGGATACCCGAGGATGCCGTCTACGCAAAGCTGCACGAGAAGTTTGGAGACGACTACCTCCGACTGCAGGTTGTGCTCAGAGACGTGGAGTTCTATACCCGACAAGTCAGCGCCTACGTCCACGAGTTTTTGCAATATCTGTCGTCCATGGAACTCGTCATGCGACTCCAGCCCGGAAGCTACCCGGAGCTGGAAAGCAAATGGGTCCAGTTTAACGTGTCCATGAGGGACATTGAAAAGGTTGCCCTTGAAGAACATGTGAGTACAACATTCGAGACATTGCCCATCCCCTCATCTAACAGTCGACCAGCTTCAACAAGTGAGAAAGCATGTTATCGAGCCATTCGAGCATGTCATCAAAGCATACGGCAACCCATCCCTCGCGATGAAGAAGCGCTCGAAGCGCCGCCTCGATTTCGAGCGGTCCGAGCAGCTCAAGAAGGGCGGCAAGACGGTCGACGCTAGGCTTAAGGAGCTGGTGGAGCAGTATGACGCCCTCAACGAGACCTTGAAGAAGGAGCTGCCGCAGCTGTCGGCCTTGACCGAGAAGATTGGCAACATTTGTCTGGGCAACTTTGTCAACATTCAAGCCAACTGGTACTCGATCTGGGTAGAGAAGGTCAAGAAGGTCACGGGAGAGACGGGGCCGCCGCCCGAGGTTGCGGACATTGTTGCGCAGTTCCAGCGCGACTACAAGTACGCCCAGGAGATGTTCACCAACATTGGCATCCTCAACCCGGCATACAAGGGCAGAACGTCGCAGTCGACCACGGCGAGCACCGACGACGTCACCGCCACATCGAAGCTCCGACCACGACCCGCCGAGCTCTCCCCTCGGCCCAGAGGCCTGTCAGTGAATGGCGACCATGCCCCGATGCTGCCCACTCCGGACTTTGCAAAGCGCCACAGCGGGCAGTTCACCCTGTCGCCATCGACCACTCCGCTCAGCCCGCACCAGTTCTACTACCGAGACTACTACACAGGTGCCAATGGCCAGCGACCGTCGGTTGCACCATCTCCAGTCACAGGAGACCAGTCTCCGGTGCCTCGCCCCAATATCCCGCCTTCGTTGACCCGGCCTGGAACAGGCAAGAGTTTCGAGTCCAACGGCCTTCCGCGACAGAGCTCTGAATCTACAGTGCACACGAGGAGAGACTCGAATCCCGCTCATCAGACCCCCCAGCACGCAGGTGGCGAGTCGCGCCGGTTCTCCGGCCTGTTCCACTCAGCTCTCCCCATGCCAGACGGCACCGAGGAAAGCCAGAGATCTTCTAGAGCATCGTCTCGAGAGCGGGCGCCAGCAGGCAACGGCTACAATGTGCTTTGGCTAGCAGCGTCATTGTTCGAGTTCAACATTGAAACCACAAAGCATGAGGCTGGGTACCCCTATCTCACGTACCAAGCTGGCGAGGTAAGTAGTTGGCCCCGTCTTTGTCTTGAGGCCACAGAGGCTAACAGTCATTCACACAGATCTTTGATGTCATTGCCGAAAAGGGTGAGCTGTGGCTTGCCAAGAACCAAGACGATCCTGATGACCAAGTTGGTTGGATTTGGTCCAAGCACTTTGCGAAACTGGCCGATTCCTAGAGCCCCTTGCATACGCACAGCCGGCGTTTTCAAAAGTCCTTTTTTCCTTTAACCCATAAGCAGGCCAAGGTCTGCGTGCAGTCGGGCACATGCGCGCTGACGGTTGCTTGCGCGCTCAAGATGAGCCGGGAGACAATGTCGTCTCCTGCGGCATGTATTACATGATGAAAAAAGAAGAGATCTCTGGTCGACGAATGATTCAGGGAAAGAGGTATGGGATGATCCTATAAAGGTCAGGGGAGGGGAAAGCCCCCAACATGTACAGTTTATCAGCCCTTTTTTTTTTTCCCTCTTTTTTTTCTCTCCCTTCTTCCCTTTTGTTGCTCGAGATGGAAACGAGATGGCGTTTGATAAAGGCGACATAATGAGGTCTTGACGGATGGAATGCGACCATGTCAGCTGATGTACGTCACTGGCGGCTTCTCACGAAGAAGAAAGGATCAGCAATGAAAACTTTGGGAGCGTTGAGCGTTGTTGGTTGAGCCCGGGTTGGGCGTGTCGGCGTTGGAGCCATGCAGTAGGGACTGCAGGCATCATTTTTGTAGTTTTTCAATATCCAACGGATGTGTCGGAATTAGACCTTGCCGTCTCGCGTGTTCGTTGAATGTCTCCGTTTGACCCACGGTGTTGTGCTGCCTAGCCTCGCCAACGACAGTATCTCACGATCCATCCGACAGGGTATTGACGACGATCTGCACCGCTGCGGTTTCCCGCGCGGCAATGGCTCTACCAACGCCATGCTTGCGGTTCCGGGACGGGGCGGAAGAGGGCGTGGGAGGGTAGACTCCGGTTCCATAGCCGCGGGACACGTCCAAGCCACCCGAGATTGGCGACCGGACACCAACCGCCGAAACTAGAGATACCTCGTCGAGCCTTGCAAGAACCCATTCGTTTGTGCGTACATCGCCGTTCATTCGGCATTTCCGGATGCTACATGGTCCCTCTTCACATGCAAGGCGCCCGTTGAAGGTAGGCCCTAACGGAACCCCCTCTGGCTCTGGTTCATCTAGTCTTGTCTCCCTCACCGCTGCGCTCTGGGACGCGCGCGAGCGCAAGGGCGGTGAAGGAGGATCACCAAACTTTGGGAGTCCAGCGCCGCGAAAAGAAGCAGACGCAACTCCTCGTTCGGGAAAAGTGAGTGACAGCTGTTGCGGCGCAGGCAGAGATCACCTACCTACCTAGACCCCCTCGGCACGTTTGGGGGCTAAAAATCTCCACACGCCCAACGGGAATTAAGGTAAGGGAAGTCTTCACAGAAGTACTTATGGGCTACTTGTTCGCAAGGGAAGGGCTGCTGCTGCTTGGCCGCCCGCGCCATCGTCGTGTATGCACCCGAGTGGGGATTGCTCTTCCGGCCGAGTGAGGGGGAGGGGGGGGTACTCCGGGCCCAGGTCCGAAGACATAAGTCACTCATCTTGTCCCGTTCGTTGGCCTGAAGCTGAAGTGTGTGTAGAGCCAGAATGGAAGCAGCAGAACCTTGTCTCCAGGTCGTCAACGAGAGCACATAATGATCGGGGCAAGAAGTGTTGTAGGTAAGACCAAAAACTTACGGCAGACAGAGCCAGTCCCCCGACGAGAGGCATCACAGGAGGGCGTCACATTAAGCCGCATCCACGTATGTCGATTCATTTGGTGGTCAAGGCATTAAATAAAAGAACCTCGCAACGCAGCAGCAATGGCTCAACGTTCAAAATAAAGGCGCTCTAAATGAATAGGGATTTTTATACTAAATTCCTCAACGGGAAGAGTGCTAACCAAAATACCCAGGCACTTGAGATTGTGCAAAAATGTCCACATGTCGGTAGCCTCTTCTTCCCCGGGCTTGCCTCGTTACTAGAGCTGCGCTTCGTGCCCATTCAACGCAACATTACTTCATCGCGCGTACGTACTCCCATATCGCGCGGAAGGATGGCCTGGGTGATGCGACGGCCCACCCTTTTAAAACTCCTCGTCCTCTTCGTTGTTCTTCTTGCCGTCCGAAGGACCATCCTTCCTGATGGGAATCTTGATGCCTTGATGAGCAAAACACTTGCTCAGAGGGGTGCTTTCGCACACTCCGGGGAACTTCTTGGCAGAGTAGACCTGGAACACGTCGCTCCAGCATTGAGCAAGCACGTTGCTCTTGCCCATGTTGACCAAAGAGCCAGCTGCGGAGGGCTGCCCGGCGCGCTTCGCCACACTCACAAACGAGAACCTCAAGCTTCGACAGGTTAGCAGAGTGCAGGATACCTTCTGCGAGCGCACTTACCGGAAAAGACCCTCAGTCCTGACGCTCAGATCCTGCATGACAAACCAGATACCGACATTGTCCTCCGTGTCGCTGAGGCGGAATGCGCTAGACGCCAGGCTGCCGATAAGATTTCTGGTGAACATGCCCTGGGGCTGGTTTGTCGCCATCGACATGGACTGGCGATGTCCGTACGTCATGTCAGCCTGCGATGGCACGGTGCTGGCGGCATGGTTCGGGAAATATTGAGTGGGGGGCGCAAACGAGGCATTGGTAGACGTGTATGCAGTCGGAGGAGCTGTTTCCTATGTCAGCACGTGAACTGATGTAGCTGGCCGCGAGAAACCTACGCTGGTACCCTTGGTACCCTGGAATCGGCGGGGGCTGCTGCTGCTGGCCATACGCAGGACCGGCCGCGTAGCCAGGTATCAGGTCCGCGTACGGAGGCATGCCCGGGGGGTCTTGCCTGAGCGTGTGGAAGGGAGTCGGGGTTGTGGTAGAAATGGAGGCCGTTGTGCTCGAGTGCCTGACGAGGTTCACCTCGTGCTGTGCCTTCTCGTCCCACAGGTCGACATTGATGATGAAATGCCCATGCTCGACCTCGCTGTCAGATTGTCAGTGCAATGTCCACCTTGGAACACGCAGGGCCAACTAACTTTACACTGAACTCGCGACCGGTTTCGGGGTTGAAGACCTTTACTCTGATACACGGCGGAGGGGTGATGGGGCGGCGGTCCTGTCGAGACGAAGCATCAGCACAAGTGTCGACGACGGCAAGTGTTCCACAGGGGCTTGCTTACCTTGTCACCGAATCCGCACATGCGCGCTCGCTGGGGTTGCTGGACAACCACGAGCCTGGACTTTGTAAGCAGAGGACCTCGCGGGATTTGCTCGGACGCTTGACGAACTCATATTGCCTGCCCAGGTCGTCTGTCCTGGAGAAAGAGGGGGGCTGGCCCTGGCTGGCGGAAGTCGAGGCGGCGGGGCCAGAAGAGACGGCGGGAGGGTGTTGAGGAGGGACACCGTTGGGAGGCATATTAGAAGGTACTGGCGCGGGAGGCGGGAAAGACATGGGAGGAAGCTGTGGGATCTGACTCGAGGGATGAGCATGATGCGGATGCTGCTGGGGGTGCTGTGGGTGATGTTGCTGGTGAGGAGGAGGAAGCTGTTGTTGAGCATAGGGGTTCGGGGGCATATGCTGCTGATGGTGGTAGCCACCAGAGGCGGGATGTTGCTGGTCGTAGTTCATGGTTTCGGCGGTTCTTTGCGAAGCTCGATCGTGGGTTCTCGTCACGGAGCGGAAGTTGGGGGCGAGAGCGGCAGAAGAAAGTTACCGCAGGCCACGGCTACGTTACACGCCGGGTTAGCAAAGCGCGGAATAACTGCGGGATACGGACGCGGGCTCGGGAAGAAGATTGTGCAGCAACAGCAGCAGCAAGAGGGGGACTGCACGGTACCTAGCGGGATGGACTGCCAGACTCGAGAGAAGCGTGGTTCCGTGTCTCGAGAAAATATGGTGGTCGAGGAAGGAAACGGGTCAGGGCAGCCGGGTTCGTTATAAAGGACGGGATGTTTTAGGTTCCCAAGGTGCTCGAGCTTTGGAGGTGCAGGTGCATAGAGGCCGCAGGTGCAGTACCGCAGGACGCTTTCTTCGGTACCGCAGGAAAGTGGAAGGAAGGCAGCAACCCAAGGAAGGCCGAACAAGGTTGCACATGCGTAAGGGTACGAGCATGGACGGACAAGGGAGCTCGACAAAATTGAGCAGCTACCGACGCAAGTCACTGGGCAATTGGAGATGGGAAATGGGGGAGAGAGAGGGCACTCTGGCCGGAGGAGGGGTGCAAATGGTGGTCTGTGTGCACCTTCCTGGTTGTGGGCGGGCATGGGGTGGGTCTGCGGCTACCTTACCTTACAGTGTAATGGAGGTACCTGCCGGGTACACTGACTGGCTCTCCGTCACCTCACAGTCTACACTCACTGTAGGTCCGGCCCGCGAGCACGTCTCGAGAGAAGAACAACAGAAAGAAGAGGTGCAGTAAGACTTAGAAGCAAAGGCGTTCTTGACACTGACACCGACACTAGCACGGCACGACATCACGACACGACACGGCGCCGCCTTGCAATACCGCAGCACGCTCGGGTGGTGGCGGCAACGCAGAAAGACAGGTCGAGTATGTCTTGCACGGTTGGGCGGGCGGGATGGCAGGCGGCAGACCAGCACCAGGGCTTGCAGGGTCCCAGGTGCTCCCAGACCAAGGGAGGGGGGCCCCATCCATGGATTGGATCGCTGCCAGCTGATTGATGTTGTACCTCTGCGCGGTTGTCACATTCACAGCACAGTCCAGTACAGTACAGTCCGCAGGTCGTCGGGTCGGTGCCTTTGGTTTGGGACTCTTGGTTGAGCGACCGCCATGTGTCTGTCGTGTGCTGTCGTGCCGGTGCTGTGCTCGTGCTGTACATCATGCCCACGGGTTCCGTGGTTGGGCAGAGCAAAAGAGTCGACGTCGCCTTCCTCCGCCCTCGTACATGAGACAAACCGCCATTATTCTTTTTTGGCAAACGCTCGTCGATGCAGATATACCGACGGTTTGTGCGGCAGCCCACTTTGGGTGGACGACTGGTATCGACCGCCATTAACACGACCGCCAGCGCGGGGTTTACCTGTGCCTGTCCGTACATACAGATCACTGGGCATTGGGTCTCGCTCTCACTGGCGCCGGCTCCTTCCATCCCTCTTTGCTTTTTTCCCTGAACGAACTCTGCAGTATGGAGTGCCAGGGTTGCCGTCGCGGTGGATACGAGCGATGCGCGATGCGCGGTGCTAGAGTGCGGAACGGGTGATGGGCCATGGCCCGCCATCCTCTGCGTTTTTAACATCCGCCGGCCTCTGGCTCTAGCATCCGCAGGCTGCACGAATAGAGTAGACGAGCGAGCCTCTTGCCTCCTTCTCCCGGGTGGGTAACGTACCCATGGACATAGTCACCTTGCCATGCCACCTCGTCAACTCGTCCACACGCAGTGCAAAGACACGATGCCATGTTCCAGGACGCCTGCTTCATTCTACGGGGACCTCGGATACTGACAATGCGGACGGAGCCAGCCCCTTCCTCCTGGGGCTCTTTGTTTTTCCTATTGTTCTCTCCTCTCGACATGACGAGCCTGTGCTGTGTGTCTGAGTACAGGGCCCCGCTGGCACTTTGCAGCATTGCCGGTACCTTACAAGCGCAGAACATGGAACAGCAGCTAGCGACGGGGCAGGCAAAAAATTCGACAAGGATCAGGTATGCCAAAGCCAGCTCAGATCAGAGACACCCTAAGGTAAGGTACTTTGGACTTCATTATTACCTTCCCAAGATCATCCATCACCTCGCGGCGGGGATTCACTAATGCGTACCTGATTGCAGTTCTGAACGACCCATCGGCGACCAGCTTGATGCCCGAACATCGCCAGTCTCGGATGGCAGACGTATCCTTTCCAATGCAGGACGCCTGCTCTGCAGCTCAACTCATCCGTCGTCCTCCTAGAAAAATCCGTCGACCCGTGTGTTACCACACACATGCCACACTTCCGTCCCGTCTGGCACCCCGCCTGTCGCATCTACCCACAATGTCTTGGATCTGACCTCGTTCGAAAACATGGCAGCTTGGAGTTAACCTCCCGTCCGTCAACCGCCTCGTGTCGTTCGTCTCTGGCCAGCTTTGCTTTCCATGACACGAACGCGCGAGGCCGGGCAACAAGAGTCGGCCACTCATGCCGAAACCAGACAGGTCGAGCGGCCCCCCTCCTTCGTCATCCCGCCCAACAGCCACCCCAACCCGACACAATGGTCCACGAACCATTTCCGCGCCCATGTATCGGTCCCGACCTTAGTAGCAGGCCTACTCTATGCCAAACCATTCCCTCGGTGCCCATTGACACAACCCGACTCCCCGACGCCTGCTCGGCGCATTGCTTCAGCCGCACCTCCTCCTGTCTCGCAGAAGAAGGGGGGAGGGGGCGCGCCACCCAGGCCTGCCCGTTGACCACTGGGAGCTCCTCCGTGCCACAGCTCACCCTTGACAACTGACAGCGCCCACCTGGCCACGGTCGTCCTCTCGCTAGCCCGTGAAAGCAAACTTCCATATCGGGTCGTTTCTGGGTGATTTGGTGCAAATCAAAAGCGTATCTCCCATTCGTACGCCAGCCATCCGCACCCGGCCGGAACCTCACCTGCAGTATCCCCGCCTGTTGTGTTACCCATCGTATGCCATCTGCCTCTCCTCCATTGGCTGAACCGTTCAACGTCCTTTTGTTCGCTCCGCGTCGGTCAGAAGCAACAACCGGATGCCATGGCATCTGCTCATCTTCCCCTGTTGTCAGAGTCCTCAAGCCATGTCCCTGGAGCGAGCCTCCCGAATTGCGGTGTGAAAGCTGTGGTCTATGCGCAAGACCTTCCGATGCGTTGCGCCTTTTGCCGTTTCCTGTCAAATATTACGCTGTGGCTTCGGAATAGCACTCATGCTGCCAGGCTCGGTTTCTGGCTGTGTTGGCCAAGCCGGCTTTCCGCCTTGTCTCCAGCCACGGCACCCAGCTTGACAGCTAGCTGGCACCCTTGTCCTTTGACAAACAAGTGTGAGCACGCTCCTCGAGACCATCAGAGCGACTTCTCTATCGGGGCCGTTTGACGTCTATCAAAGGAAGCCCTGGGGTCATAAGACCTTGTGATAATGCATCCAGGCTGCTCGTCGTTTCTTAACATCTTCCGCCTACTGCAGCCATGAGTTGCGACGTTGTAATACCCAGTCCATCTCGGCCGGCAAGGCAGGATGCCACAACCTCTCGGCTACGAAGCATCCGCCATTCGCAAGAGCGGTCGTGGCCACCGAAAGGCCGGAACACATACCAACCCGATTTCTTTGTACTAGATAAACGCATGGTCGAACACGAGACAGCAATTCTCTCATGAATATCAAGAATCCACCGGCGCAACGAGTGCGTATGGACTGGCACCGAGATTATTATCGACGATCTCACGACCTCCTGGCCACATTCAGTCCGCTTCTCGGCACCTGAGCCAAAGCCGGTAGATGATGCAGGCACACGTCGTAGACGCGAGGTGGATAATCAGGGGACCTTGTCCTAACGACAGACAAGGTCTAGGGCACCCGGAGGTGATCCGGTTGCCGCGCTAGCACGGGCGTGGGCCCTCTCCATGATGTGCGCTCGCCTGGCTGTTCGTCTGAAGTGCGAGGTTCATCTCGGATAAAGAGGCAAGACAATGCCGTTCAACCTGTCTGCAGGCTCAAAGTCCCCGGAGTTGTCAGAGTCTGCGCCTCATCTCTCATCTGAACCGCCAAGGTGTCCAGGAACAGAGCAACCATTCAAACGAAACGGCATGGTCGTATCCAAAGTCAAGATCTAGTCGTGACGTCAAACGGCTCAACCGAACAGAACCCTATGCATAGCCAGTGCTTATACTCACAGTCACCACCTTGGGTTGCAAGGGATGAAGTCGTAACCATGGCACTACAGTTAGTTCCCTAATGGAACAGACTTGCCCGGGCTCTGAGTTGTTCTAGTATGAAAGCTTGATCCTCCCGCCTAGCATCCCTACGCGCCTGTCTTTAGCGGTAGGCAGTCTTAGAGACCAGATTGGCTTGAATAGCTCGAATGACAATGGGACCAACAGTCTTCGGCGTCACCTCGGCTCCGGGCCATCGCATCTCAAGCATTTGGATACCCTCGGGGCTAGGAAGAGTCTGCTGAATGCGCGTCATCCACAGGAATTCGCCATCAGAGTTTATTCGCAGATGCAGATCGCCGTTTGCCGAGGTGTCAAAAAAGGACGCCAGCGGCAATGCCCGCGCGCATGGTAAACTTTTTTTTTTCTCTTTTTTTTTTCCGCCGCAACAGACCAACCAGATTTCCAGGATTGCCACCGCCGGCTCTTCAGATGGTCTCAATTCGAGATGGGCCAATCATTGAGGGAGACTTTACTCTTTCCGGGCCAAATCTTGCATTCAAGGTTGTCTGGATGCCAGGACGACACCCTTTGACATCTCAGGCACCGGTTCCTGCGGCATTCATTGGACTGACAAGAACCAGAGGGCATCGGTCTAAGCAGGGGCAATAGGGCAAAGGTCAAGAGAAGAGCCGTGGCGCTCTGCTCGAGGCTTGTGTTGGCACGGGTTTGGAGATGACCGACTGATGTGAAAAGGCCGAGATGTGACTGGCTTGAGCAATCTGCAATGTCTCGATGTTTGGACGAAAATCCGGGGTGCATTCTTACCAGTCACAATCCTGCACCAGTTTCAGCCTGGCGGAGCATTCGCAGAGCCCAAAAACGATTGCAATGAGGCAGACGTCACTGCTGCCCAGACGAGTTACGGCGCTTTCAAACGACACGGCATCGTCTGGTTTTTCTTTACTCGGGCAATTCGAATTGAGTCTGCCGTCCATCGGCTCTGGGGCAGCGCCGAGGGCCGGCAGACAAACCTGCCGCGGTGGCCAGAGGCAAAGGAGACGGAGCACAAGTCTGCCGGCGTGGATCCAATGGCAGGTTTTTCACCCTCGTGCCCATGCCAAGCACGTAGTCGCTTTGCGATCAATGTGCGCATACAGACTCCAGACCTCCCGCCTGGGAACGTTACAGCCGGCTGGGAGGAATCACCAACACCAGGTCACAAGACCATCGGACGAGGCCGCAGCTCTGCTGCGTTGAATAGAGCAACCCGGGGAACCTGAAGCCCTGCTGCTGCCGCCAATTGCCGCTGGTTCCAGACCCGACACAACGTGCAGCAACAGCAACAATATCTCTCAAAGTCGCACTTTCAACCGCTTGCACGCCTTGATTCCTTTCGAAGTGTGCACAACTCGGCCAGTCACATAAAGGCCTTGCCAGCCTCGTTCTCTGCATCTCCGCCTCGCAATCTAGTTTCAACGTCAACCTCGCGAACCGAGAACAAGGAGAGACGTTCGTCGCTGGGAAAAGTCCACATCCACCCCGCGTGTTTGCCATGGCCTAGAGCCGGCGGTTCGCAGATTGCGATCAAGTGGCACGCGCAGCTTGAATGACACCACCAGCGACCTTGCCTATCCCAGACAAGGCGGAGCTTTGGGGTCCAGAGCAGAGGGCCAGGGACCAAAAGACCCCTCGGGAGGGCGAGTGCTTGGGGCCGGGCTGGGAAGAGGGTGCTGTCGTGCCTGTCGGTTCAGCGGGTGCGTGGTGTTTTTGGCTGGATGTCGTTATTTTCATTACGTTTTGGTTTGTCAATGACTGGCTCCCCGGCCCCCGCGGTTTCTTCAAACGTCCACACTCCCTGCCAGCCAGCGCGGCCGATGCCTCTGGCCTCTCAACCGCTGCAAAACCTCCCGGCAACAGGCTCTCTGTCTTTTCCCCTCTTTCTCTCCTCGCCCATGTGCCATTGTGTTCTCTGCAGGTATCCACTGCAGAAAATGCAAACTGGGGGGAAAGAAAAACCAAGCCGACATGTTGTCCATGTCCAGGCTAAACATCACCGAGACCGTGCCCCTGGTGTGGAGAAAGCCACTTGAGCCAAGGCCCCAAAACCAAGAGGGAAAGAAAAAATATTTCGGTGACCTTGTGATCACTTGTTGGCGCAACCTACGTCAGGCTGGAGGAGCAGGCCAAGGATGTGCTTACGCCGTACATGGGAAAGGTCGCGCAACATCTGCTTGCGGCCATGACCGAGATGCCAATGCCAATGCCAATGCCATCCTTGCCTCCCTCCTCCTCCCACCACCACCACCAAACGAAGCTTAAACAAAGACCGAGTAAAACTGCCTGCTGCTGTGCCTCCACGTTCCTATTTAAGTCCTTTGTCTCCCGTCCGTCGTGCCCGCCGGTGCCCTACCCACCCGTATTGCACTGTCATCAGAATTTGATTCCAGGAGTTCCAGTGTTCCTGCGTTGTCGTCTTGCCATCAACTCTTGAACCACACCGCATCGATCGCCTTCTGTCCCGAGAAACGCTCCCCGCGCTCTTGTCATCCCTCGCCCCGGTCTTACTCCGACCCACGCCCGGCTCATCGACGACTCATACATACCTCCCCAGGCGAACGACTTGCGCGTCGCAAAAGCGACTCGGCAGACACCAAGCCCAAAAACCACACATTTCCTCGCACATCCTCACAATGCTTGCCTCCCACGGCCGCGGCGGTGCCGGCAACATGGCCGACAGCACCAAGTCGCCCAAGGTCACCCCCAAGGACCTCGAGACCCCGACCCTCAAGACCTCCGTCGTCACCACCGGCCGCGGCGGCTCTGGCAACATGGCCAAGAACGCCGACCCCTACGAGACCCGTCTGCGCCAGGACGTTGAGGGGTGAGTCCCATCCGTCACTTTTGCCCGCAAGAAGCAGCCTTGTGTCTAATATGCTCCCCTCACAGCGTCCCCCGCCGAGAGAGCAACGGCGCCACCCACTACGGCCGTGGAGGCGCCGCCAACGTCTTCAAGACCGGCTCCGAGGAGGAGGCCGCCGCGAAGAAGGCCAAGGCCGAGGCGACGGCCGCCGTCGAGGACGACGAGTCTTCGCTGCGCAAGACGCCTTCGCCCACCGGCGGCCGCCGCAGCCCCGAGGACGGCAACGGCCTCGCCGCCAAGGGCAAGCAGTGGCTCAACAACCTGACCAAGAAGGCATAAGTGCCTGTTCTTCTCTATTTCTTTTCATGCACAGCTTTTCAGGCGATTATGACAATGGCCCGTACGACTTATTCACCCCTTCTGGGGACGGGTCATGCACATTGGCGACGGAGTTTTGGGACTGGAAACAGGGAAGAACACCGAAATTGGTCTCCCTGGGGCGTTTGGAACGGGCAACGAAAAACGTTGAAACGACACAAAAAAAGTTTACGATACCATATTCAGCTATTCGATGAAACCAAGGGGCGGAAAGGAAAAGCAAAACATTCATGTCATCACTTCTCTCGTTTAAAGGCATCCCATGCTGTCCACACATTGCCCTGAGATGCGATTTTTGGTCTATACCTATCCCGTCTCTAGTAAGACCAGTAGAGATGTGCCCCTCCCAGACGAACACCTTTTATACGCCCGTGACATCTCATTCGAATAATGATGCATGCGTGCTTCCGTAACCAAACACCTTTTAATTCTTCGTCAGACGGTGGATCTCAGACAGATAGAATCTGAGGTCTTCGGGGTTGACACCCGGAGTGATGCCTGCCGAGTATTAGTTACGCTCGTTCTTCTTTTGCAACGCAGCGCGTGTATTGACTCACCATGTCCTAGGTTGGCGATCCACCCCTTCTTTTGGCCCCAGAAGCCATTGACCATTTCCTCGACCGCCTTGGTGATGTTCTCGTGGGTGCCGTAGAGGACGCCGGGGTCGGCGTTGCCCTGGAACGTGATGCGCCTGTCGCCGCGGATCTTGACGGCGTCGGCAGGGCTCTGCATCCAGTCGAGACCGACGACGTCGTAGCCGATGTCGCAGACCGTGTTGAGGGCATGCCAGCAACCCTTGGGGAAGACGGTCATGGGCACGCGCTCGAGGTTCATCTCCTGCAGCTTCTTGGGGAGGTTGGCGGAGATGTAGGAGAGGTAAGGCTTGCTGAACTCCTCAAAGGCAGCCGGGCCGAGCTCGCCAGCCCACGAGTCAAAGACCATGATGCTCTGGGACAGTTGTCAGTCGCAAGGGAGACGTCGCAATGTGGGGAAAGGACATACCTGGGCTCCGGCCTTGACTTGCAGGGCGAGGTACTCAACACAGACCTCGGCAATCTTCTGCAGCAGTTTCTTGGACTCCTCGGGGTATCTGTAGATCCACGTCTTGCTGTGGATGAAAAGCTTGGTGCCGCCACCCTCGACCATGTAGCAGAACAGCGTCCACGGGGCGCCGCAGAAGCCAATCAGGGGCACGCGACCGGCGAGCTTCTTGCGGGTGAGGGTGATGGCCTTGTATACGTAGTCGAGCTCGGCGGCGACGTCAACGTTCTTGGCCATGACTTGCTCGTACTGGCCGTCCGTAGGGCTCTTCAGAGGGTCGGGGAAGTGCGGTCCCTTCTTGTCGACCATCTCAACGGTCATGCCGAGGGCCTGGGGAACGACGAGGATATCGCTGAAGATGATGGCAGCATCGAGGAGACCGGCGAAGCGCTCGATGGGCTGCAGGGTCAATGTGCTGGCAATCTCGGGATCGCGGCAGCAGGCGAAGAAGTCGCGGTTGCCCTTGGCCTCGTGGTACTCGGGGAGATAACGACCGGCTGTATGGAGTAAGCTGCTGTCTTTTCTTCGTTGTCTACGGTGCTGGTCGGAGGTGTCCTTACCTTGCCGCATGATCCAGCATGGCGGGCGCTCGACCGTCTCGCCTGTGTCGTACTGTTAGTCTGCGTCCACTTGCAGCGACTGGGTGTTTTTGCTTACCGCGGGCTGCCCGCAGAAGCAGGTCGTTCTTCAATGGCTCAAATGTCAACTCCATCTTGTCTGGTCGGCCGGCGTCTGTGATGTCTGGATGTGCCGGTGTAGATCCTCTCTCGATGCAAGATGCCCCGCGTAATCCGCGACCGCTGGAAAACCCCGCCAAAGCTTCCCCCCCTGTCCAGTCGCAGGGCGTCGCCGAGGTAGCCGGCCGGAGCGGCTTAGCCACACCCGACCGCACTGAGGTCGTGGCTGCAACGAACAGTGGGCCGGCGAATACAAGCTCTTCCAAACTTGCTGACCTCCCTGCGAATTTGACCCCCCACGACACAGCGATTCAAACGCGCCAAAGCGACCCAATTGACCGCCAAATCCGCGTCCGAATCGACTGGACGCTGCCGACCTTGCTCGCTAGGGATGGAACAGACGCATTAGGATCCATCAGTCAATGAATAGTCGGATGCGAAGTGAGCGTCCCGATGTCCTCCCGACCGACGGCGCGCTGCACCCGAGCCGTCCAGCAGCTTCGAGCACCAACAGAAGCCATATGGATCACGGATGGGCTGCTCACGAGCGCCTTTGAGCGATACTGCCATGTATCGCACCTCGCGCGACGGAACTCGAGCTCCACCCCTGGCCCGCTGGAGAGCAGGAAGCGGCTTGGGAAGCGGAAGATGACGGCCATGTACCTCGATCACCAGTCGACCTTGCCGCCCTGGGCTATGGAATTCCCCGTCGACCTCAGCAAGTGGAAGTGGCAGCCGCCGACTCTTCGTCAGTCGAGCGGGGACAACGATCTGCACGTTGAGAAAGACCGGCCGGCGCCAGCAGAGTCGACTACACCATGGATGGTGATACAGAAGATGATGGGGACCTTTGCCGGTGAAGAAAAAGCCCAAGAAGACGACGGGAGGGAAACTATACCGGCCGACCCCCTTATGGAAAGGCTCTCGCAAGCTCGATCGGCCGTTGCTGCCTCTACACGGCAAGCGATGGACCCGGCATTTTGGAGCTTCACGCGGCACCTTGAGCAGGACATCAAGTCGGGCGCACTGGATTCCGATGCGGTGGTGATGGCTGTCTCGACATTCCCACAGTCCCTCGCCAACGCAGAAGCCGACCGGCGGGTCGTGCGCACTGCCATTGGGGAATTCCTCTCGGCCGTGGTCAGCGGCATCAAATCGTCCAGTCGTTGCGGCGCTGCGGATTTCAAAGACACTTTCTGGAACCAAGTCCTAATACAGACATCTCAGCTGCGCGAGGGAAGCACAAAGCTATCGCTGTTTCAAACCATACTCGATGCGATTCCTCTCTCCTACATCGACGATGTCCACGAGGGCGTTGTTGCGGCAGTGCAAAGCCTAGTCGCCCGCGGAAAGTGGCGCACGCGGGCCGCGGACATTGGCGTCGCGCTCCGCAGACTATCTCCCGAGGACCACAACGCACTGCTCGGCAAGTTGGAAACTGCCATTCACGAAAGTTTGAGAAAGACTCAGAAGCAGACGCTTCAACTACTTTGGTTGCAGATCTTGGCGCACATGCCGCTGGTAGGGCAGGACTACCTGCTGGACGCTTGCGTCAGATCGGCCTACTTCGATCGGTGTTTGCTTGGGTCCGCCGGCCGAGATCTCAGCGAGCTCCTCTATGACCAATGGACGAGCCGCGGGTATCTGCAGTATCATGGACCGGAGGTTGCTGAATGGAAACGCGTCTCCGGCGGCCGTCCTGAGCTCAGTCTGGCCGCGCTGGTCGTCAAAATCGGCTATAACACCCCCGTCGATTACATCGCCAAGGGCGTGTGGATCCTGCTGAGCCTACTGAAATTCTTGCGTCGCTTCGGGCGTCAGGAGGACCTGTTTGATTCCATGCGAGCTTTCTGTCAAGTGGCCACACGCCTCCCTATTGTTCCGTTCTCGCTGCTGGCCAAGGCGGCCGGCGATCACCGTTTTGCTCTTACCACACTTTCGATGTTAGAGAACCGTGCGGATCAGCTGGATGGCAAAAAGCGGCAATGGTGGCAGTGGTTGCCCCAATCCAAAAGGGACCACCAGATCCTCAAACAATGGGATTGGAAGGCCTGGCCGCGCTACGTGGAGGGCATGATCAAGGATGAGTCCATCAACCCCGCCGTCGTCTGGAAGGTGGTACGCAGTGGGGCCGTGGCCGACTTTCGGTGGAAGACCGACTGGCGCCGGGTCGATACACGGAAGAACGTAGAACGACAGCTGCCGTACAAGCGGCGTTTGGCAGAGGCAGAGCGATGGAGGAAGACGAGGATCGAGCTGATTCAGAATATGGCTGTCTGGTTTTCAGAGGCAGAACATCTCACTGACAGCATCATACTACGTAACGTGGGGCGGTGCGTTACGTGGCTCAGGGCACACGAGGTCGAGCTGGAGCGCAGGGTGGTCTTGGCGGTGGTGACGGTAGGCTTGCGGGAGCTCAAGAGGTGCGAGCCTGGGAGGACGCGTCGGATATCCTGGGTGTTGGACATTATCGAGGAGCACGGAGGGGAGAAGGAGAGGCGGCTTGTTGCTCGAAGGCTGCAACGGTGGAGGGAGGCCAACGTTGCCTCGGGCGCGCGTGCGGAGGAAGCGAAATCAGGGTAGCAGGGTCTCGTCGGAGGATGGAACACACTGTGAAGTCATGTGTGTTCCCCCCAATCAGGCGTCCATGAAGGGAATTTGAGACGTTGAGACATGGGGCCTGGGGCATCGAGTCTAGCGCTGCGAGTCCACGGCAGTGGTGCCTGAAGGGAGGCCCTCCCAAGCTGAGACACGAGAGAGTGCAGAGTTGCAAAGAAGAGGCGTACTAGCGCAATGTACGGAATTCTGCAATGAACATGTTTCGCGTCGGGAGAACATTCGTTCGCCACGAGGCATCATGGGCCGGAGCGGCAGAGCGGTTGATGGTGGATGGTGTATGATGCGAAACATGGCAACGAAGATTCCGGCATTGGAATCTATTCAGTCATTGAAGCGGAGGACCACCATCGGCCGGGCCCGAGGAGAAAGTGCGCTGGATGTCTCTGCCGCATGCGTACGGCGAGAGTGTCGTGACCCCCATTGGAACCGCCCACCGGATAGCACCCACAAAACCCTTTGTCTGTTGTGCTCTTGACTCTGATGTCTCTGGCCGGCCTCATGAGACAGGCCCAACTTTTTCCATCACCAAGGAAAACCTTGTTTGGGCGATGCGCGTGTTGCGTGTGGTGAGAACAATTGCAGCAGGCCGATCCGTCTCCCACGTGTTTGCGCGGGCGGGCGGGTAAAGGGCAAAACGAGACAAGCAACAAAAGAGACGAGATCAAGGGTTTGCCGCGCCGGCCAGACTCCGGAGGGTTAACCACGGTCATTTGCGGCCCAAAAGGCCAGGGTACGGGCTAAACGGTGTGGACAGTGGTCGGGTAGGTGGTGGCGGTGAAGCAGCAGAAAGGGGGCGAGCTGTGTGCAATCTGCTTGTATGTCTACCTAACCTAGGTATGTCTACCTAACCTAGGTATGTAATACACGGATAATGCAGCTCAAGTGTGTATACTGTGTGTTTGCTTGAAGCTGCGCCGACCAGGGGTTCACGACGAGGTTGCAAGGCAAGGCAAGGCCCCAGGCACAGAAACAGAAACAAGCAGACGTGAAAGAAGACGGCAAGTCGGAAGACTCGGGTGTGGCTCCAAGAGGCAAGTGCTGCTGCTACTGCATTGGGACGTCGAGGCTTAGCGTCCTCCTTGAGGCTCACTGTTCGCCGTGGAGGGTGTCTGTGGGTTTTGATAGGAGATGCTTCTAGACGGGGGTTTGGAATGGCTAGAAGGCAGATGGAAGCGGCATCGAGGGATCTGGTCCGTCTATCCAGCCCCTCTGGTACCGAGCAGCTGTTGGTTGCTGGGATGGCGGTCCTTCATCTTGGTAAGAAATATGGCCTATGCAACCAAATCTGAGGGCCAGAGCAAGTGATTGCAAGAAAGACCAACGTGCCGTGTCCTATGCCCGGTGGAGGTTTGTTGGAAGTGAAGGAGTGCGAGGTCCGCGGGGTGGGGGGGTGGNGGTGGAGGTTTGTTGGAAGTGAAGGAGTGCGAGGTCCGCGGGGTGGGGGGGTGGGGGGGTAACCAGGGGTGGTGGTGGGTGATGCAGCAAGCATTATTGGCGTATTCGGCCGAGGCATTCGGCGAGTCCAAGTACATAGCACATAGCCTGCTTGCCCGCTTGCCCACTAGGGCCATGGGCCAAGAGGTGCTGGGCCGCGGAGGGTCTCTCTCAAGGCGTAATTCTCCTCTTGCTTCTGATTATTACGTGCAGCGAGGATGGGGAAGATGAGCAAAGAAAAAGAAAAACCGAGTGGGATTGGCGCCAGTCGACGTTGCTTCGCGAGATGGATGACATCGAACTCGACTGACAATCGCTGTAAAGATAACCCTAGCTGGCGTTAGCTCACATGGCCTTATTAGATGGAGGTTGGGCCTGTATCGCCGTGGACAATGGGATTGGGCATTTCCCCATCCATGCAGCATGCACCACAAGTGCCCTGCGGAATGTTCCATTCAGATTTTGCAGAGACAGGCAGCAGTAGCAGGAGCGGTAGCAGCAGCTGCAGCCGCAGGACGAGACAGATCAACCCATCAACCCTGCTTATGCCTGTGTCTTGCTGTCTATCTGTCTGTCCATGTGTCCGTCTGCCTGCCCACTGTCTGTGTGTCGAAAGCGCGTACCTACACACATGGGGAGAGAGACACAGTGACGGAGAGAAAGAGAGAGAGAGAGAGAGAGAGAGAGAGAGAGAGAGAGAGAGAGAGAACTGAACAAGGAACAGAGACAGTGCCAGAGACACAGAGGCAGACCGAGACGGGCCGGTCACGACGAGACAAGACAACGATGAGCACGGCACGACTGGCGAGGATCAGGGACTCGAGACGGACAGGGCAAACGCCGCCGCCAGGCCAGGGCTCGGCAACTAGGAAACTACCTCACGGATAGGGCGCGGCACTGTCGAGGCCGGGGCAGATAAGCTCTCGACCGATGCGTCGATGCTTCGACAGCGCGCAGGCACAGCATCATGTCCTTGACCTGTTTCCTCCAAGGCGCAGAAACTAGACGATTATCTCCGTTGACCTAACGTAAGGCCCCGTCGCCTCGAGCGCAGCGTGGAGGGACAGCAATAGAGGCCAGGCGAGAAGCAGATTAGCGAAGTCGGCGCTGGCGCTGAGGTGTGTGCCTGTTGCGTGATGTTGCGATGAACCATTCCCTTCGTGGAGGTGTGTCTTGGGCAGAGAGAAAGACGCCAGGGGGGGCCGAACCCCCGCATCCGGAAGTACTGGCTACCTTACCTCACCTACACTGCCCTCCCTCCCCACTGTGCGTGCGTGCTCACCTCACCTCCACTGTCACTTGTTGCTCACCTCGGGGTCGCGCCTCCAGACCCCACGAGGGACCCCTCGTCGCCCGCTGCCGCCAGGTAAGGAAGGTATCGCATACGCACACCCCTTGCACACCGTGCCTGTCTGTCTACCTACCTTCATCCCATCTTGTTCCTGCTGCTGCTCCTCGTCCTCTGTTCGTCCGTTGTTGGACACGGCGTAGCGCGGCGCACAAATCCAAATCCAGTTGCAAATCCACGACACCCCGTCCTTTTTTTTTTTTTTTTTTTTTTGGCCTTTTGTGCCGGGAGGCGGAAGCTGCTGCTCATTCTTCTTCCTCTTCTTCTGTACCTTACACTTACATGGATACATAGTCCTGTGTACACCCGCACTCCAACGCTCTCGAATCCTTCCACGTCCTCTTGCTCGAGTCCTCTCTCTCGACCGCCAACACATCCCACCAGGTACCTGCCAACACCACGCCAACCCAAACTCTTACACAACACCACCACCACTACGATCCGACTGCTCGACACCACCACAATCAAGCAGCCAGACCGGGGCCCAGTCTAAATAAAAATCACCTCCTGCATATTCCGCCCGCTCCTCCCACACGCACACACACACACACACACACACACACGCGCGCATACATCTCCGGCGACCACCCTGCTCCAAGTGGCCCTGCACATACAACAGCCCACGTCCTTTTTTACGTCCGTAACTCCCCCCGGACGACCCAGCCGATCCTCGACCGTTCCCAGTCTCTACCCTCTTTCGATCGCCATCTCGACCACGCCCAACGAATGACCGCGCTGTTTGTCTGTCGTCGAACCTTAACAGGAACTCATATCACCCTCCCTCGCACGCTCCGCCGTTGACAGAAAGACGACAAGTGACAGAACAAGACCGCCGACCAACCATCAAATGGACCAAGGCCATTATTCCGCTGCACGTCATGCGCCCGGTGCTTCCATCTACTCGGCCCAGGCATCGGGCCACCCTCACGCCTATCAACAGCTTCCGCATTCCCACCCACATCAGCACCACACTCACTCGCCCGTCAACCCTCACTCGCCGCCCCATGGCCAGCCACAGTATTACCCCATGAATCCTGTGAGCCCCTCCGCGCCCGGCCCCTCCATGGCAAGCCCGCGCGTACTTCCCAACTCAGATCTCATGCCCGGCCCTCCCCAGTCGCCCGGATCAGCAACATCCTCTGTGCCAGGTAAGACGGGTATGCCCGCCGGTGCTACCTCTCCCGGCGCCTCGGTCGCTGGCTCCGCCGTCAGCTCCAAGCCCATCCGCAGGCGCATGCGCATGATCACTTCCTGTCTCGAGTGCCGCCGCCGGAAGCTCAAGTGCAACAAGTCGCAACCATGCGTCAACTGCATGAAGTTCTCGCGCGACTGTGTCTACCTCAGTCCCAAGCTCGACGAGGCCAGCCAGCTTCGTCTGACAGAGATCAAGGAAAAGGTCGGCTCCTTGGAGCGCCAGTTGGAGCGCGACGTTGCAAAAACGACCTCCCGCGCTGCCCAGCAGCAAGCAATCCTGGCCGACGACGTCGAAGATGAGTTCGCCGAGGAGCGCGATCTCGAGCCCACGGACATGACGGCGCTCGATGTCACCTACGATGAAGATGCCGACGGCACAGACGATCTCATCGATCTCGGTGTTCAGGTTGGCCGCATGCGCATCACGGAGCGAATCGGCGGCCTTTCCAGACCTAGGATAGCAGAAGAGGTGCGTATTTCTACAGTCGCCCGAGTCCTGGACAACATTCTAACCGTAATTTGTAGATCTCTGCCGGGATTTCTGGTGGGCCTCCCGGCTCAGGAGGTCCTCCCGGCCCTCCTCCCATGGGGGCGATGGGAGGAGGCATGGGAGGCATGGGAGGCATGGGAGGCATGGGAGGAATGATGGGCGCCATGGGAGGAATGGGCGGGGCCGGACGTGGCGGGCCGCCCCGTGGTGGACCGCCCCCTGGGTATCCCGGTTTCCCCGGCCCACCGCCGGGCATGGATGCCATGTCCACCATCAGCGGAGGTTCCAACGGCTCACTACCCGACTTTTTGAGGCCGGGCGAGTCCTACATACCTCCCTCGAGCGGCTTCTTCTTTGGCCAGTCGGCCGAGGTGCAGTCTTTGGAGTCTTTGTTGCCCACGAGGGAAGCCGCGGACCGTCTTCTTCAACAATACTTCCACGCCGTCCATCCCGTTGCGAGATGCGTTCATCGCCCAACGTTTGAGAACGACTACCAGAGTTTCTGGGAGGAGATTTATAGCAACTATGAGCCGCGGCCGTCCACGCAGGCCATCATGTTCGCGGCGTGGTTCAGCGCCGCGGTAAGTATGGATGAGCAGGTGGTCTACCGCCTGTTCGGGGTCACCAAGGCGTCCTTGATCGACAGGCTCAAGGCCGCGACGGAGACTGCGCTGGGAAAAGCCAATTTTTTGAGAACGACGAGAGTCGAGACGATGCAGGCTTTCGTCATGTACATGGTGCGTCCTACCCCAATCGCTTTTGTGCTTGCGACTGCTGACTGGGCATGCAGCTTCCGCTGTGCAGAGCCGAGGTGTCCAGAGCTCACTCCGTGCTCGTGGGCGCCGCGGTGAGGATGGCAGAGTGTATGGGTCTGCACAGGGATGGAGAGACCTACGGGTTGAACCCCCTTGACACTCATGTGAGAAGGCTCATCTGGCACCAGCTGTGCTTCCTAGACATTCGCACGTGTGAGGCACAGGGCCCACGGCCCGCCATCCGCCGAGAAGACTACGACACCAAGCTTCCACTCAACTGCGAGGAGGACGAGCTCTACGCCACAGGCCCGCCTCCAGAGCCGGCAGAACGGTGGACCTCCACTCTGTTCTCCCTCATCCGGTTCGAGAGTAACGAGATGATGCGCATCATCTGGCTGGACCGTCGCAGGCTCGAGAGTCGGCGGACGACTCTGACTGCCGTTCTTACAAAGATTGAGAACTTTCGCAAGCGCATGCTGGACAAGTACGAGAAATACCTCGATGGTGACGTGCCTGTGCAACGGTACGCAAAGCTCGTGATGAACCTGCTCCTGTACCGTCTCTACGCCATGGTCCTGCACCCTTACCACGCCAACGCCAACAGTCCCATGCCGCATCGCCTCAACAACATCCTCATCATGTCGGGTATCATGATTATCGAAATATCCATACAGCTCGAGACTGCACCCCCATACCAGGATTGGGCCTGGTATCTGGGTGCTTACCAGCAGTTCCAGATCGCTTTGCTCCTGGCCACTGAAGTATACTACAGGCCCCAGAGTCGAGAAGCCCCTCGCATCTGGAACTGTCTGGACTACGTTTTCCAGACGGACCGTACTCTGCCGCCCGAGATCAAGGGTCTGCAAATCTTGGGCGAGATCATGAGCAAGACCTCCATCTACCAGGGCATGCGCAAGATGCGCGCGCCCACAGGAACATCACGCGCCGCCCCGAACAAGAATGCTGTGGGCGTCAAGAGCCCCACGATGCAACCCTCCCCTCAACAGTACCAGCAGAACGTGCCGATGGGTCTCAAGTCAGAGACCGGCATGGCAGCCGGCTTGCAACCGCCTACTCCTGTCAGCGGCGTCGGGTCTCCGGGGCTGGGGTCTCCGGGCGGCCCAGGAGGTCCTCCCGGAGGCCAAATGGGCGGTCCTCCGCCCAACATTGTCTTTGCGGGTGTCTCCAACGGCGAGGCGCTGTGGAGTGTGCAGCCGGTCACTGCGGACAGCCCGGAAAGCAGCTGCGACGGTGCAAGCGTTGCCGGACACAGGACGACGCAGGCGCCTATGAACATGGTGAACTCGCTCGAAGGCGTGGACTGGGTATGTCTTTTTTCTTCTGTCTTTGCAATGTCACGAAGCTAACTCATGGTGCAGGACATTATCAACAATCTGTTCCCGCATGACCCGAGCACTGGTGAGCTGAACATTTCCGGTTTCCACGACCCGAGTCTGGGCCTGAACGGGTTTCACTGGGGCCAACGACAGGCACTCGATCTTCATTGATACCATTTACTTTGAGCGACGACAAGCAAAAATGTCAGACATCCAACTCTGACATGTTGATTTACACATGCATATATAAGTACACATTTAGCACATACGTAATGCGCGGGGTCTGCATGTAGTTTACGAAACATAAAAGGACAATGACGGTTGGGATGTGTTTGCGCGCGATGTAGTGGTTGACAGAGTTTGTCCGAGGTTGCGATAATAGAGAAAAAGGGATACCGCGCAGGCTTGGAGTAGTCGTGTGTATGACAGAGAGAGGGTTGCTGGTAGAAGGCCGTCCGTGGCATCTAATGAAGAAGATCAAGGTCAAATATACGCCACCAAAAGTCAAAAACGTGATCAAATCCCATCACGGGCAACAAGAGTCATAATTTCAATGAGCTCATCATTATTCGTTACGGTCTAGAAAGGCCCAATTACAAAAGTAAAAATTACCGCGAAGGAAGCAAGTGGCATCGCGCAATAGGAAAAATCGTCATGACCCAAAAAAAAAAAAAAACCCAAGAGGTATCGTTGTGCAACCACCTTTTGTTCCCCCCCCCNCCCCCCCTTCTCCGAATCATCCCATGAAGCCCCAGGTGTCGTAAGCTTCGTTTTCTTTTTGATAATGTACCAACCCATTTCCTTCTAATCCTTGGGCCTTTCGACCATTTCCCATAATTACACACACACTCTCCCTTGTGTTTAGTTGGATCGCACGTTCGACGCTTGTTCGGGCAGGAAAGTGCCCATGCTGAGTTCGCTGTGTGTCGCTGCCGCGTTGCCGCCAATCGCCGACCCGCCAACCTCGCTGCCGGGCGTGAACAGGCGGACAGACTTGCCCTTGGGCCGAGCCACCAGCACCTGGGCGGGACACACAACGATCTCGTCATCATTGTTGCCAGCGTCGTCTCCCTTCTTGACGACAAGAGGGAACAGAACGATGCGAACGACGGCGTGTTGGCCTTCGAGAGACTCGTTGTTGAGGGACTTGTCGCCGCTGCGCTCATTCATGAGGGCAGCGTTGAACGTGACCGTCTCGGCGAGCTCGCCGTCGGCGTCGTATTCGGGTTGCAGCGGCGGGAGCATCATGTACTCGGCTCGCTGGGTGCGCATCTCGATGGAGAGGTCGACGGCCTCCCTCATCACGCGGCGCAGCTGTGACTGAATCTGGTCCTCCAGGTTCGACGGGGGAGGGAGGACCTTGGACAGCGTCTGGAAGATGGCCTGGACCACGGCCTCGGTGTCGAGGTCGCGCTGGTGCTTGAAGCTCGGGCGCTTGGAGAGCAGCGTCAGGGTGACGGCGCGCCACTGTCGAACGGCCTGGGGAGGGCCGACCTCGGTGAGGAGCTTCTCCAACGACTTGAGCTTCTGTCGTTGTTCGCGGTCCATGCCAAAGAGGTAACGGGTGAACACAAACTCCCAAATCATGTTCATCGTCATGGACATGAATACGTCTCTGCGTCGCACGCGGTCGGCGAGATAGGCATCCACATCAGTGCCATCGAGGATGGCGTTGTCGAGTCGGTCAATGACCTTCTCATCGTTGATTTCATTCGTCAACCGACAAGCGCGCATGTCGGAAAACTTGGAAAACCGGAGGACCCATTGCTGAACGTGGGAGCACAGTTGCTGGCATCGGTGGTCGAAATGGTCGACGTCCTTGACGTTCAAAAAGTCGGCGTCGGCGCCCTTGGCGGCCAGGATCTGGCGCTGCATCTGGCGGATCTTGTCTTTGGCAGCGTCGAGCTCGGAGCGCAGCTTGCTGATTTCGGCATCCTTTTGCGACAGCGACTCTTGGAAGCGGCCGCGCTCGTTGCGAACCTCATCCAGCTGTCGCGACGTGTCTGCATGCTGCGTCTCCAACGAACGGTAGCGTTCGTTGTGTTGGGCAGCAAGCTGGGCATTGGCGCTGTTGAGGCCCTCGTTGACCTCTGTCAAGCGAGCGACCTCTTTTTGTAGGAACTCGAGCGACTGCTTGAGGACGTCGATCTCGGCGTCGCGTTCGGCTAGGATACCTGAAGCTGAAGCGCGATTGCTGGTGGTGGTGGTGTCCGCGGTGGTTCGGGCATCGGCGAGCATGCGGTTCTCGGCCAGGAGCTGTTCGACGCGAGACTCGAGCTCGAGGACTTGCATGCTCTGACGGCGACGCATGCTGTGTGGTCTAGTGGGCGAGCGGGGGGAGCCGATGCGGCCCTCGCCAAAGCCATCCTACAGAGGCTGGGTCAGTGGAAAGTCGGTGAAGATTGAGCAAGGCTGCACAGGCCAAAACTCAATTGGAGCCAGACGGTCGGGGAGGCAAGGCACGAGAATAAAACAAAAGCAGGGATGGCTTGTGCGGGAAAGGAAATGTCAAAAAATGGGATGAACTTACAAAGACGTCGGCCATGTCCTTGGTCCGGACACGACCCTCGTTGGCGACGGGGGTGTTTGACGAGCTGGTCGGGTCCTGGGTGAGGTCTTGCTGACTTCGTTGGCTGAGAGATCGCAGGTCTCCGCTCATGCGCCTGTCTGTCCGGCGGCGGAGAGGAGGGGTGGCAGTGGCTGGGCGAGAGATGATGCCTGGGCTTTCAGGCCTGAATTTGAGTGGCTCCGGTGTTTGTGAGCCCATGGCCCGCCTATGCCGCGAGAGGCTGCTATTGGATATGGATCTGCGCGCTACAGGGGGCTCGACCGGCGCTGGCGATTGCAGCCGTGCAACGCGCTCCGAGACGCTGCGATTGCCGGGCGGAGGCGTGCTGCGCGGTGACGACGTGCTGCTAATCGCTGCCCCGGCCAGCGCCGCAGAGGCCAGGTCTTGGTACTTGGATCGCTTCCTCTCCAGCTCTGGGCTGATGCGCCGCATTTTGTGCGGCTCTGGAGTTGGAGTATCGAGTTGCCGGCTGCTAGGGTCGCGCAGAACAGGCGTCTTGGACACCGGATAGTCGCGAGTCTCGTCCTCGGCGAAAGGCGACCGTCGGATCAGGTCTCTGACCGATGGTGATTTGGCCCTCTCTGCTTCACGAGATCTCCTTCTCTCACGGTGACTGGACAGCTCGGGCGTGCGCTGAGCTTCGCGCCCTTGCGAACTTGTCTCTTGCCAGTCGCGCATGACACCGCTGTCCCGCTCGACTTGGCTGTCGAGACCACTCTTGCGGAAAGGGTGAGACGAGCCTGAGCTCAGCGCGCTGTCGCGATGGGGCTCTGGTGTGCGCAGTGCCCTCCGAGATGATGTCTTGGGGAGAGATCTGGGCTGAGATTCAGCTTCTTCGTGAGCCTCCTCCTGAACTGGCGGCAGGATGCTTGGGACCGGGCTTCGGAAACCTCCCGTCTCGTAGAATGGCTCGGGGCTTCGGGATGAGAGGACGCTGGAAAGATCGCGGCGAGACTCGGCCTCGAAGCCGCGGTCGACGGCCTCGTCCAGATCACTTGTCATGGTGCTTGGCTCTGGGTACAGCGATTGGCGAGTGTCCCTTTCAGTAGCCGATGGGATCTCTTCAGGCTTTTCTTCTCGCCCCAGTACAGGGCTTTCGACATTATCGTCCAGAGCCTTTTCCTTCAGAGGCGCCGTCAGACTAGGCATGCCTTTTGAATGTTCCTCCTTCTCCTTCGGTGACGGCAATTCGCCCGATTCGATTGGGTTCTGTTGAATGGGCGGGCCATCTCTTTGCTCCGTGTTTGGAGCAAAAACATCATCCTCCTCCATTGTCGTGTCTTGTCTTTTGTGATGCTCCTCGTCCTTCGTAGTGTCCGGCTCGGCTGGCGCCTCTTGAGCAGACGCACTTTGCGGCTCTTCGCCGCCCCAGAACTTCTCAACCTCTGCGTTTGCCGCCTCACTAACGCGCTTCTTGTCGGCGCCTTCCCACAGCGATAGGTCGTCGAATAAGTCGTCCTCCTGAGAGCTGCGTTTGTCGGCGTATTTGGACTTCTTTCCCTTCTTCTTGGCGCTGCTTGACTTGGCAAGGGTTGCTGCTGCCGCCGCAATCGCCGCCGTGCCAGCCGCCACACCAAGCCTTGACGAACCGGTACCTTGGTGTTGCTTTTCGGGGGTCGTGGCCCGGGTAGTCTCAATAGGGTCATGATCAGTCTTGTGCTCGAGGTACGAAGCGGCAATATTGAGAGCAGATGACGTCTCCGAAGGGTGTTCAGGAACCTGCTTGTCTTCACTTGGTTCCGGGTGGCCTTGGTGTTCAGAGGCGTCCGGCGCTGACGTAGGGTGATGTTCAGGAACGTCATTGTCTACGTTTGGTTCCGAGTGACCCTGGTTTTCAGAGGCGTCCGGAGCAGATGTCGGGAGCAACGATTCATCTGCAATCGTGCCAGCTTTTTCGGCAGCGTTGTTTTTCTGGCTGTCGTGACCTTCGAGGTCCACAGCTGCGATATCGCGGGAGCTAAAAATTGGTTCCGGCAACAGGGTGTTGGACTGCTCCCTGGTTTTCAGTTTCTTTCGCTTATCGGGCTGCTCATAGGGCACTTCGTGGATGACTTTGCTTGTCTCTTGCGCCGGCGTCAAGTCAACATCCGCGGACCTGGATGATTTGGGAGAAGGCGTTGTGGCATCGACTGGCCGAGGGGTGTCCGCTGGGGTCAGCAGAGTACTTGCTGTCTCGGGAGGAGGCGGCGCGGACGCACTCCTGTTCTCCTCGAGGGGTTCCTTGTCAAAGTATCCCACGTTGTCGGCGCCCTCTGGCGCAAGGCTCTGCTCGGGGTTTGGTGCAGGCGTCGGGTCAATGTTTTGTGGAGATTCTACGTCAACCGGAATGGACTGTTTCTTGCCCTTCTTTCCCTTTTTCGATTTCTTGGTCACTGGAACGTCCCATGAGCCGAGGTCGACCACGTTCAGAGATGAACGTGTGGCTTCTGGGAGGTCCATACTTCTCAAAGTGTCCAAGGCTGCCGTCGGCGAGGCGGGACGCGAACCATCGACGTCAACGTTGACGTCTTGTCGGCGACTTGCACTTGAGCGGGCTCGGTCTTCCGCGGCGGGGCTTTGGGGGGTGCTATTGTCGTGTCTGCTGTCCCGGTCGTTGTCTTCCTGCACAACGCTCTCGAGCGGTCGCTCGGAGAGGGTTGAGCGCTCCGCATAGTTGGGAGATCGAGATCGTCCAGAGAGAATGGAATGCTCCGTATAATTAGGGGATCGAGATCGTCGAGACCGTCGAGAAAGAAGTGAGTGCTCCGTGTAGTTAGGAGATCGGGACCGCCTAGTGAGAAATGAGCCCTCCGTATAATTGGGCGATCGAGACCTTCTTGAAAGAAGTGAGCGTTCTGTGTAGTTGCGAGACCGAGACCGTCCAGAAAGAAGCGATCGATCCCCGTAGGTAGGAGATCGAGACCGCCTAGTAAGAAACGAGCCGTCCGTGAAACCAGGAGAACGAGATCTTCTTGAACGAGGTGAGCCCTCAGTATAGTTGGGAGATCGAGATCGCCTGGTGAGGAATGAGCCGTCCGTATAACCCGGGGACCGAGACCTTCTTGAACGAGGTGAGCCCTCTGTATAACCCGGAGACCGAGACCTTCTTGAGCGAGGTGAGCCCTCCGTATAACCAGGAGACCGGGTCCTTCTCGAACGAGGTGAGCCCTCCGTATAATTAGGAGATCGAGACTGTCCAGAAAGAATTGACTGCTCCGCATAATTAGGGGTTCGTGACCGCCCAGAAAGAAGCGAGCGCTCTGCAAGATCAGGTGATTCAGACCTTCTCGAAAGAACCGAGTGCTCCTTGAGGTCAGGAGATCGAGACCTTACTGAAAGAATGGATTGCTCCGCAAGAGCTGGTGTCCGGGACCGCGCCGGTGAAGGGGGGTTGGAGATGGCATCTGAGGGTTCGGCGATTGTAGGGGGGGTATTGATAGAATCGGCAGCGGTGGACGGCTCCCTCTCTGGCTTGAAAGATTTGACATCGTCCTCCTGGGTAGGGGCAACTTCGGCATCTTCAAGTGCTTGATTCTGCCGCTTCTTCTTCTTCTTGTCTTTTTTGCTTTTCTTTGTCGGAGCACTCGACCACTCATTTGTCCAAGCTGCCAGGGGGTCGAAAGATCCAGTGTCAGCCGTGATATCTTGCCGCTTCTCATCTGCCGGCGCCGTCTCCTGCTTTTCCGGGATCTTGTCTGCGGGAGAATGGGGATGTTCCATCTCGCGAACCAGGCCCATGTTGACATCGACGTCAAGGGGCTCGGAGAGGTTCCTCTCATCTGGGGAAACGTCGGGTGCGGCGATGTCGGGGATCTTGGCCTCCTCTGTAGTGGAGACGGCCGGCTCATCTTCCTTGACCTCTTCCACTGCCGGTTCCGCAGGAGTGGCAGCCTCAGACGCCATCAGGTCGTTTTGCGCCCGAGACTTTTTCTTCTTCTTGTCCTTCTTTGACTTCTTGGCAGGCAATGTCTCGGGCCATTCATCTTCTGGTAGGGCGACGGCGGCTTCCTTGGTCTGTGTGGCATCCTCCAAACTGGCAGACGGCACGTCATTGACACTTTCAAGCTTTGGCTCTGGTGTCGTTGTCGGTTGGTCTACAGTAATCGAGGCCACCGGGACGATCTCTTTAACCGGCTGGGCCGGCTCGGGCAGGGTTTCCGTTGCGATGACGGGAGCGTCCGACGTTGACGTAGGCGGTGCCTGCTCGACAGTTGCGGGTGGTTCTCCATCGATGTCCATTTCATCCTGAAACTCAGCCTTCTCAACGACTGGCTCGATGGGAGCCGGGATAGAAGCCTCAGAAGGGATAGTGGTAGGCGCTTCAGCCGCTGGCAAATTCGCTGCTGCTGGGAGATCGTCGGATGCGCCATCGGCAACAGGCAGCGATCTCGAGGTGTCTTGTTCAACAGCGGCATCGTCCATGGACAAGCCCTTCTTCTTCTTTTTCTTGTCCTTCTTTGACTTCTCGGGCGTCAAGGGAACCTCTTCTTCAGGCTGGGGAGCGGTGGGCTCCTGGGTGTGGACGACATCAGCCTCGGCCGATTGCGATAGCATCATATCCATGGAGTCCTCGACTGGTAGTGTCGCGGGAGCTGCGAGGCCTGCCGAGTCGGAAGCAGGATCAGCGGGGACCTCCTCAGACGGCTTTCTGGACTCGATGAGATCAGCTGGTGTCTCCTCCGGCGGCTGCGTGGACTCGAGTGGAGGAGCAGTAAGGTCAGCCTGTGCCGCCTCTTGGACGCTGGGAAGAGGTTCCTGAGGGGCCTCGGAAACCTCCACTGTCGGCGTAGCATCAGAAAGAACATTTGAATCACCATGCAGGTTAGCCTTCTTCTTTTTCTTCTTGGAAAGCTTGGGCGAAGAGGGCTCATCATCTAGTGGGAGAGAAGGTTGGCCCTCGGGGGTATCAAATGTGTCCGCTTGGTCACTGCGCGCTTTGTCTGCCTCGAGGGCAACGTCTTCATTGGGCGTGTCCGCGTCAGGAAGCGGAATATCTTGGGCCTCGGCGGCAGGCTCTCGGACATCATTGAGGTTGGCCGGCGTGTCCGTTGGTGTCTCCAGGGAGATGTCTTCCGCCGAGGGGACAGTGTCCAAAGGAAAGTCAAGAGAGCGCTCCGTGACAGGGTTGACGGCAGACTCGGCAGCAGGCTCGGCTGAGGGTTGCGGCTCGATCGTGTCAAGAGCCTGTCCCTTCTTCTTTTTCGACTTCTTCGCCTTCTTGTCTGGCAGGGGGAATTCGTCCTCGGCAACCACTGGTTGGCTTGCCTCAATGATTGTGGATTCCTGGACCGGCGTCTTCTGCTCCTCCAAAATTGGAGTCTCTTCGACTGGCTCCACAACGGCCCTCGCAGGCTCGGGCTCGGCGGTCACTGTTTCCTCCCGAAGAGACTGCTCAAGTTGGGGCTCAGCCTCAAGTGCTGGCTCCACCTGAGCCTCCTGGGCCTTCTTGCCCTTCTTCTTATCCTTCTTATCCTTCTTCTCCGGGATAGGGAACTCATCCTCTGCGTTGGCGGTGACCGGCTGCGGCGCCTCGGTTGTCTGCGTGGGATCAAGAACAGTGTCCGCTTGGGTGGCCTCAGCGACGGGGGGGACATCTGCCTTAGACACCTCTTCCGTTGCGGCAACATCCAGATCCATGGGATCTTCGTGCTGGGAAGGCTCAGAAATCACATCTGGAGTGGCCTCATCAACAGTGGTGTCAGGAACAGAGCCCTCTTGTCTGACTGGATCGTCATCAGGCGTGGTGTCCATGGTTTGCTCGCGCACTACCTCCTCATGCAGGGTTTGGGGTTCGTCAGTCGTAGTAGTCGCGTCTTGAGTGAAGACGTCTGTTGGCTGGGGAGTGCTTTCGGTCTCTGGCATCACCATCTGTTCGGGGTGTCCAGTAAGGGCGGCTTCGGGGGCAGGAATTGTCTCCGTTTCCGTAGGCAGGGGTTGCTCCGCGAGGATGTCAGCGGAAGCACCCTTTTTCTTTTTCTTCTTGTCCTTTTTCGACATTCGTGGGAAGATGGGTTCCTCCTCCAACGGACGGGCTTCTTCTGCGGGCATAGGCGTGCTGGAGGATGGTGCATCAGGCTCGAGGACCCGAGCCGGTTCAGACGAGTCGACTTGCTCAGAGGCAGGCTCGTCGACGGCGGGAACTTCAGCCGGGGTGGGTTGTGGCTCTGGTGCTGGAGTCTGTTGCGGCGGGCTTGTTTGTTCGACGACTGGCTCCGTCGCCGGCGTCGCAATCGGCTCATCTGGGGTCTCGAGGCCCTTCTTCTTCTTCTTCTTTTTGTCCTTCTTCGACTTTTTGGTCACGACGGGGAACTCATCTTCTGCCAGAACGGTGGTGTCGGCAATGCTATCCGAAGGCATTGTTTGTGCTTCCTGAGCGACCTCAGCCTCAGCAGCGGGCGGCGGTTGAGAGACGGACGCTGGGTTTGGTGCTTCCTCTGGGCGGTCGAGAATGAGGGTGTCTCCCTGAGTCAAGGTCTTTGATGAATCCTCGGGCAAGGTATCGTCAAGGTGTTGGGGATCCCTGGAGAGTTGGAGATGTTCTGCGTCGGCGGGCAAGGTGTCGACAGGTGGGGCAGGCGCGGGAGTGGATGTGCTTTCCCCATGTCCGGGCTGGTGGTTCTGCTGTGTTGGGTCCTGGAGGCTGTCTTCGGCTTCTTCACCACCAGAGCTCTGCTGCTGCTGCTTCTTCTTGTTCTTTTTGCTCTTCTTTGTTGGCACTTCGAAACCAGCATCATCAGCTTCTTGAGGTGGTTGCGGTTGCTCTCGCTCGTCCCCAGCGCTTGTGTCATGCGGGGCATCAGGAACATGGGACACGCCGGGAACATCTTCGAGCAAGCCTTCAGCAACAGCCTCGGACGTCTCGAGGGGAACGTCAGAAGTCTCAGCAGTAGTCTGGTGTTCATTTACTGCATCTTCCAGACTTGGAGACCTCTCATCCTGTGCTGGTGCAGACGGTGGCGCTTGCTCAGCAACAATTTCTTCCGACTTTGAGGAAGACTCTTCGGGCTGCGCTGCAACCGCGTCAGCCTCATCAGCTGCCTGAGCTGCGGCGCGCTTCTTCTTCTTGTCCTTTTTGCTTTTCTTGCTGTTAGGTTGGATCGCCCATCCGTCATCGCCAGCCCACAGCGCAATGTCCTCTGCGCCGGGAGCGCTGGCAGCGTCCGGGATGGAAGCCGGCTCCGGCTGCGCCGATGACTCAATCGGTGCCGAGGCACCGGGTTCAGCAGCTGAGGGGCCGTCATCCACATCCCGTGCTTGGGTGTCTTCGACATCGTCCGGCTCTCCGGCGGCAGCCTTTGCCTTCTTGGCCTTCTTCTTGTCCTTTTTGGACATGTTGCTTGGGGTTGCGGGCTCGGACCAGACGTCAGCTCTCTCCTCGGGCTGTGTCTCAGTGTCGTCGGGGCTCTGGGTGGTGCTCCCAGCATTCACAATCCCTGTGGGTTCAGGGCCTGGAACGGTCTCCGACAATGAGTCTACTTGCGGCTCCGAGGCGATGAATTCACCAAGTGATTCCGGGGCGGCAGTTTGACCCGGAAGTGCAGCATCGGTGGCGCGGGGAACGGGGTGCTGCTCTTCCTCGGCCTTGTGTCCTCTGGAATCCCCAATGTCGGGAGAGTCGTTGAGATTGAAGTCTTCCGGGCGAGACTCGGCTGATGCAGCGGCGGCGGCGGCGGCGGGCTCGATAATCCCCGCGTCAGAATTTTTGGCACGCTCCAACAAACTGGGACTGCTGGGAGTGTGACGGGGACGGAGACGGGGACTGGGTACCTCGTCCAAAGGCGAGGTGCTGCTGGAGGCGGCGTGGGAGGGCAAAGGTTGGGGGATCTTCGGGTTAGAGTCTTGGTTGGCCAAGGGTTGGACCGGGGTGTTTTGTGGGCCACCAGCCTCCAGGGCCGAGTCGGTGAGGGCCGGTCCCACGGGTTCTGCATCCGTCATCCGCCCGTTTTGCGTGTCGACCAGTGATTTGTCGTGCCCTGGCCCACTGTCCGGCTCCACAATGGCATGCAGGCCGGGGTCGCTGGTGCCAACCTCTCCCGTTTGGGCGCCTGCAGTCGCAGATGGTTTGCCAATGGCACCAGAACGGCCCGCCTGTTCAGCATGTTCGGCGTCCGATGTTGCATCAGCCTCGCTGCTTGCCACCTGCTCCGCTTGCTCCTCGCCCTCCAGTGTCTCACCGCCCTTCCGGTTGGCCGCGCCACTGCTGGACGAGCTGGTTGCGGGCAGCATTCTGTGGGCGGAGGGGAAGTACGCCTGCTGGGCGGTGGGAATTGAAGCGTCGCTCCTCGTGGCTCCCCGCCTTGTTGCGTGCAGCCCAGAGGATGACGGGAAGTAGTCGATGGGGGCAGCAGCAATGTCGTGCGCGTGTTCGTGCTCGTGCTGTTGGGGCAGCGCCTGGGTGCTCTCGCTTGCAGGGTGCCTTTGAGCTTGGCTTTCTGGGTCGAGATCCTTCTGCGCCACACCTTCGCTTGTCTCGTCGACAGCCATCTGGTCCGAACCCTGCATCTCCTCACCAATTGCCAGAGGCAGGCTCTCTGCCTCCGATCGATCCTCACGTTCGCCTGGCTCCGTCGTTTGTAGCTCTCCGGTGGCTGGGGGCGGGGCCGTCGCCGCCTCAGGTTGCCATTCCGAGCCGTGGCCGGCTTCCTGAAGAGGAAGATCGGAATTGTTCGCGGCGGATCCCAGTTCAGGTGCCCACGTCACGGATTTTCGCCTTTGCTCGCCCGTATTTGCAGCAGGTTCGGCCTCGGTCGAGCTTTCTGCTGGCGGGAATCGAGCTTCGTCACTGACAGGCTCTCTCGGCGGAGAGGAAACATAAGCGGACTTGTCCATTGTATTCGCTACATCTGCCGTGCTTTCGGAGATACTTGTGGACGGGCTGTTCTCAGGCTCCGGGTCCAGGGTTGATGACTTCTTGCCCTTCTTCTTTTTCTTTCCCTTTTTGGTAACAGCTGGCCCTGCGTCCGCCTCCTCTGAAATCTTGACGTCCGTAGCGAATTCTCCGCTTGTCGGGAGCTCAGGCGGCGGTGCTTCCGTGTCTCCCGTCTTGTCTTGTGTGATGCTCGTGTCCTTGTCCGTGATCGTCTCGTCCTTTGCCTCCTTCTGGTCCTTCTGGTCTCCGGGAGTATCCTCGATGGCTGCTTGGAGGGCTGCAGCCGCGGCCGCTGCCGCCGCCGCTGCCGCCGCCTTCTTCTTCTTTTTCTTGCTCTTCTTGGACTCAACTGGCGAGTCGGGTTCGACTGGGGTCTCAACGCCGCGAGGTTGCTCCTTCTCAATGAACCGCTCTTGCGGCTTGGCATCCACCGCGTCAATTTGGCTGTCGAGAAGGGTGGGCTCTTGCGAAAGGCTTCCAGGCACGTCATCTTTGGTCTCGATGGAGATGGGGCGTTGCGGCGGCGTTGCAAAAGCCTCATCGTTGCTTTCGGCGTTTGTAGGCTCTTGAGGCTCGCGAATAACCGTCTCCGGGTCGTCGAACGCCTTTGTAGCCGTCTCTTCCGCCACGGGGGCTCGCTCGGGAGTGGCTGCAGGCTCCATGGACTCATCTTGAGGGATGATAGTAGTAGCGCCGGATTCTGAGACCTCGTTCTTGCGAGATGTTGATGGCTCTTGCAGGGGAGATGCATTGTCAGCCTGGTCGACTGACTCTGTTAACGTGCTGCTTGGTAGCTCTTGAGTCTCTTCGGTGACGGCCAGATCCTTCTTTGCAGCATTCAGGTCATTGCCCTGAGCTTTGTCGGATCCCTTCTCGATCGAAGAGACCGTATCCGGGGCTGGCTCCTCTGTGAAATCTGGCGCCTTTTCCTCGGGGGCACCAACCATGGCCGGAGTCTCAACAGCAGCCGGAGTCTCAATGATTTGAGTCTCGACGGCAGCTGGAGTCTCAACAACGACGGTGGTCTCCTCGGTGGCGAATTCAACATCAGCAGGAGTTTCGACAAGAGTCTTCTCGCCGACAGCCGGAGTCTCAACAGTAGTCTCGCCTGTAGGAGTCTCAATAATAGGAGTCTCAACTACGGGGTTCTCGATTACAGGAGTCTCAACGACTGTAGTCTCACCAAATGGAGTGTTGGAAGCAGGGGGTTCAACATCAGGGCCCTCAGCAGGAGCTGGAGTAATCTGGAAAGCCGTGTCTTCTTCGTCGAAAGCAACAGTAGTGTCACCCGTAGGAGTCTCAACGATTGGAGTCTCGACTACAGAGCGATCAACCACAGGAGCCTCGGAGTCTCGAGTCTCGACAGCTGGAGTCTCAACGATAGTCTCACCGGCAGGAGTCTCAACAATCGGAGTCTCGACCACAGGATTATCGACTAAAGGAGTCTCAACAGCTGGAGTCTCTGTGAGCGGAGTCTCAGCAGCTTGAGGAACGACAGGAGGAGTCTCCGCCGTAGGGGTCTGAAGAGGTGTATTTTCCACAGATAAAATGTCGTCCAACTGGGACAGAGAGGGTCCCTTGCTCTTCTTCTTCTTTTTCTTCTTCTTCCTGTCCGACTGTTCAGGCTGAGCAGGTTCGGCTGACGGCATTTGCGTGCTCGCTGGTCCAGGCTCGGGAAGCTCGGGAAGCTCGGGAAGCTCAGCTGCGCAATGGGTCGTGGAAGGGACATTGTCAATAGGCTCGGAAGTAGAGAGGGAATCCTCTTTGGGGCCAGATTCCGCCGCGGGAACTTGGGCGGTCTCTGCCTCGCTGGTTGTGGGCTGCGATCCATTGTGGAAATCGTCCTCGGGTATTCCGGAGTAGACATTGTCTGAAGTAGCTTCCACGGGGCTGGTGGGCGTAGCCTCCAGATCCAATCCACGCGATTCTGAAGAAGACAATTCAGGGTTCTTGGCAAGGTCCGCATGGACGTCTGCAGCAGGGGTTTCCTGTTCAAAGACAGGCTCGGCCTCGACGTGTTCATTCTCAGCCGCTAAAGATAGGTTCTGGCCCTTTGAAGTGGGAGTGGGCGATGTCTCTGCTGCCTCTGCGATATCACGGACGGCACTCGTTGGTTCCTGCGCAGGCTGGACATCGTCCGCAGGCAGAGTCGACAGCAGTGGCAAGTCGTCCTCCGTGTTGCCGAGCTTTGCCTCGTCTTCACCAGGGGCGGTTTGTGTCTGGGTCGAATGGTCGTCCAAGCTGAGCGACTTCTCTTCCGAGCCAGACATTGGAACTTGCGGCCCCAAGGAAGGCTGACCATCAGCAGGCGCGTCTTGCGATGTGGGAGCGTCCTCGATCTGACCAGACAAAATATCCTCGAGAGTGGCAGGCTTCGCTTCCGCTTCAACGGCAGGCTTCGACTCCGATGTATGCTCGTCGATCCCGGCTGTCTTCTCCACGTCCTCTTCAATTGAAGCCGACGAGTCTGCTACGTCATCTCCTCGTGCCAATTGGTTGTCGTCTTGTTCCGAGATAGTAATTTGCTGAAGTTGAGACTCCGCGTCGGGCAGCGGGGCAATTGGTGCTATGGACTCGGTTGTGGAGCTGCTCTCCTCCAGCTTGGCCGACACTTCCTGCTCCGGGAATGGCGTCACTGGCTCGGAGGCAACGGGGGTGTCTTGAGTGGCCTCAGTCGTTGGCTTGGCTTCACCATCCAGATCGAGCGCCTTCATTGCCTTCTTCTTCTTCTTCTTACTCTTCTTTGTCTCAGGAGATGAAGGTTCGGTGACTGAAGGCGCAACAGGCTGATCGGCCTCATTGATGCCCTTGCTCTCGTCGAACGTGTGCGCCGAGGACGGAATGTCTGTGCCGGGCAAGAGAGCCGGTTCGCCGGCCTGTGGCACAGAAGCGGGAACGGTGGTGTCGGTTTCGGGAAGCCAAGTCGCGGCTTGTGGCTCAGGCAACTGGGATGCTTGATCTGCCTGATCAGCCTCAAGGGCTGGGGCATGGGCATCAGCGTCAGCCACAGGAGCTCCCACCTCAACCATAGAGTCTTGTGCCTCAGTCTCAGGCGCGGGAAGCGTGTCGTCGGCAAGGGAGGGTATGAAGTTGTCCTCTGGCAATTGTTCTGGCACTGGTTCCGTGGCAGACTCGATCTGGTCGTGTCCCTCTTCAGGCTTCGCAGAATGTTCAAGCTCCAACGCCCGAGCCTGAGCTTTTTTGAGTTTCTTCTTGTCTTTCTTGGACAGCTTCTTTTCGGCAGGAACGTCTGCTGTAGAAGGCTCAAGAGGGGCAGTCTCCAAGGCCTCAGCATCAATGGGCGCCTTGCTCTCAACGGTGGGCATCTCAGGCTGAGTTCCCCCAGGAGTGTCTTCACTGCGAACATTGTCGATGGCGCTTGATGGCAGGCTCTCGATTACATGGGCGACGTTAGCTGATGGAGTCTCACGCTGGATGGACTCGACCGGTAGGCGCAAATCATCTCTTGGGGTGTTTGAGAAACGCGTATCGTCGGTGGACAAGACACTGCTGTCGGCAGGCGGATCAAGGTTGGTGTGAGTCGATGACGGGAGGTCTTCTTCATACGGCTTGGCTGGAGGGGATCTGGGCATGGAGACCTCATCAGGAGGGGCCACAACCGAAGGAGCGTCCGCTGGAAGCGTCTCTTCATGTACGGGAATCTCAGCAGAGCGCGTTTCCGAAGTGGGAGCGACTTCGCTCGGGATGGCCTCTGTCGAGGGAGCTTCAGCTGGGGCCTTGGTGTCGGCTTCACCAGACGGAGGTACAGGCTCTTCCACGAGCATCTCGCGAGGAGCATCGATTGACTGCCGTCGGTCCTTGTCAATGGGGCTGACAGGAGCAATGTCATTCGACAGCAAGGCGGCATTCTCGGCTGGTGGCTCGGAAGAAGAGGCGGCCTCCGTCGGGGCAGTGTTCTCGTCCATGGACAGCGCCTTGCTCTTTCTCTTCTTCTTTTTGGCCTTTTTGGACAGCTTCGTTCCGGCAAGTGGCCCCGCCGGTTCGAACATTCCAAAGTTTTCCAAGCTCTGGGTGTCGGGGTCAGACTGCTTCTTTCCGTCAGTCTGGTCGTCATGGCCGAGAATGGTCGTGGCAAGCCCGGCTGCCGCACCGCCTGCAACAGCGCCAAGAGCGACGTCACGCGCATCGGAGAGACTCTCCTCTTCAACTTTAGCCATCGCCTCGGATCTATCCAAAGACCTGGTGCGCGTGGGGCTCGGCGGTGTATCTGGAAGGTCACGCTCCATTAGATTCTTGACGATAGACGGGGGCGTCATGTGCAGGAGATACGAACTTCTGTCCTTGGAGGTGACTTCAACTGGCTCTGGCTCTGGCTCTGGTTGTGTCCCGACCGCCGGTAACGTCTCAGGGCTGGTCGGCAGAGCAGGCAAATCTTCTAGCTGATGATCAAAGGCATACAGCTGGGAAGCTGCGTCCGGAAGATGAGGAAGTGCGGGCGATTCGGGCGCAAGTGTGAGGCCTCTTGGATGATCCTTAGGTTCTGCCACAGGACTAGAAGGCAGAGCAGGTAGGTCTTCCATGCGCTGCTCTGAAAAGTAGAAGTCGGCTTGTGGGGGAAGGGCGGGCGATTCTGGGGCGAAGGTGATCCTAGGGGCGTTCATCTCTTCACGGTCCGTTACAAGGGGTTCCGTTGTAGGACTGCTGGGGAGAGCAGGTAGCTCCTCCAAAGACTGCTCTGGGAAGTGGAAATCCATCTCGTGAACTGAAGGGAGAGCGGGCGATTCAGGTGCCAGAACGGCCCTAGAAGGGGCAGGCTCCCCGCGCTCCATCACAAGGGGCTCCGCTGCAGGACTTCCGGGGAGGGAAGGCAAATCGTCTAGCTGTTGCTCTTGAAAGTAGAAATTCGTGTCTGGGACGGAGGGAAGAGCGGGCGATTCTGGGGCGAAGGTGATCCTAGGGGCATTCGTCTCCTCGCGGTCCGTAACAAGAGGCCCCATTGGAGGACTCCCAGGAAGGGCAGGCAACTCTTCTAACTGCTGCTCAGGGACATAGAAACCCGCGCCTGAAACCGCGGGGAGAGCGGGCGATTCAGGTGCAAAGATGAACTTCTTGGAGACACCCTCGTTTTCTGCCACAGGGCTACCAGGAAGAGAAGGCAAGTCCTCTAGCTGCTGCTCAGGAAAGTAGAACCCCGCGTCAGGAACTGAAGGAAGTGCCGGGGACTCAGGCGCATAGGCTAACTTCTTCAGCGAGTCCACAGTCTCCGCCAGAGGGCTGCCGGGAAGAGAAGGCAAATTCTCTAGCTGCTGCTCTGGGAAGTAAAAGTTCACGCCAGGAAATGAGGGGAGAGCCGGGGATTCGGGCGCATAGGTATATCTAATGGGCAAATCCTCGTTCTCTGCCACAGGGGTAGCGGGAAGGGAAGGCAACTCATCCAAATTGTAAGCCGGTGTATCGGAATACCTAAATGTCTCTGGAATCGTGGGGAGAGAGGGGGACTCTGGAACATAGGTGATTGCTGCGGGAGGGTCCTGCTGCTCTAAAACAGGGCTGAGAGGAAGAGCAGGCAGGTCTGTCTCAAGCTGCTCTGGCAAGCGGAAACCTGTGCCTGGCCACGTAGGCAGGGATGAAGACTCCGGCGCGTAGCTGATGGTAGGAACAGGTTCATGGTGCTCTGACAACGGGCTGCCAGGAAGAGCAGGCAAATGGTCCATTGAGTCGACCGGGAAGATAGCATCTCTGGACGTGTCTGGAACCGCTGGCAGAGCTGGAGACTCGGGTGCAAACTTAGGGCCAATATCGCGGTCGCTGCGCTCCAATACCGGGCTGGCAGGAAGGCTGGGCAGCTCTGCCAGATCGTAATCGGGAATGTCTAGCCATGCAGCATCTACAACCGAGGGAAGTGCGGGCGACTCGGGTGCGAAGCTGACGCCCTTTGGGATTGGCTGATACTCTGCTACAGGGCTGCTGGGGAGGGGAGGCAACTCATCCAGGTAACGTGCTGGGAGACTGAAACCTTCGGCGGTGTCTGGGATGGCAGGAAGCGCAGGAGATTCGGGGGCGAAGCGGACGCTCTTGGGTGAAGCTCGAGGCTCTACCTTGGGGCTAGCAGGTAGAACAGGCAAAGCCTCAAAGTAATGGTCTGGGAGACCGATTCGATGGGTCTCTGTGACAGGCGGAAGAGCAGGAGATTCAGGGAGGAATTTGGGGACAGTATACGGCGCTTCGTACGCGTCCTCAGCCAATGGACCCGCGGGGACAGCAGGGAAATCTTCCGCGTCGTGGAACTGCATAACAGGAGAAAGCGCCTGCTCTGTCACAGGACTGGCGGGAAGAGATGGCAGGTCCATCGGCTCATACTCGAAAGATTCCAGTTGCCTGGCTGCATCAGGCATGCCGGGAAGTGCGGGCGATTCAGGGAGGAAAACAGGGCCTCTGGGGTTCTCTACCAACCCAGGCTGAGACGCTGGATTGTCAAATAGAGCAGGTAGATCTGCTACTGCGCGCTCCAAAGACGCCTCGGCAGGCACTGCATCTTCATGCTCGGTTACCGTACTTGCTGGACTGGCAGGAAGAACGGGTAGCGCAGCTAGCTCACGCTCTGACAGCTCTAGTTGTCTGCTTAGGTCTGGAACCACAGGTAGAGCGGGGGATTCAAGGCGGTACATGGCACCAGTATGGTGCAGTGCTTGCTCGGCCTTTGGCGTTGTCTCCTGCGAGCTGAACTGGTCTCGTGCAGCCGGAGAGCGGAACACGTCCGTGTTGACACGGAGCTCATCAGGCTCGAACGGTGACGCCTGAAGCTGGCGGAAGTACTCCACGTCGTTCTCGCGGAGAGCAAACTGCGGTGCAGGAGACTCGCGGGACGAAGGCTCGCTGGGTGGCAGCTCCGGAAAGTCTACGTGTGGCTCCGTAGACTGAGCGGCGTGCTCCTGGCGAGCCTGCTCGAGCAGGTAGAGCGGTTTAATCTCCTTGCTGCTCTCCCACGAGAATGGTCTGATGGAAGGACGCCGGGACAGGGCGTTTTCCGGGGCCGTTGGAGCCGTCGGAGAAGTCATGGGAGAGATTGCATGTCCCAGATTACCTGGAGATGATGGGCTGGACCTTTGTCCGAGCCGCAGCTTGAAGGGCACCGCAGTTTGGCTTGGGCTCTTGTGCGGGGTGTCCAAGTTGCTGCGGCGCCGGACATGCGTCTTCATCTCGTGCTGTCGTCTCCGCTCCTCTGGGGGCGTTTCTGGCCGGCTGTCAGGCAGGGCAGGGAGGTCGTCGAGCTCTTCCGTTGGAGGACCAGAAGTGCTCGGCGGCATGGGACTAGGCGGGAGGGGAAGGAGGTCGCCATATTGCGGGTCGATGGCTGGCCTGATTGTCCGCTGTGTGATTTCGGGGTCGAGAATGTCCACGTCTGAGGAAGTACTGGCGGTCCTTTCCAAAGAACGAAACTGTTCAGACTCTTCCGGTTGAGGTTCGGTGGCGTTGGAGCGGGACATCATGGAGCCCAAAGCTGCCACGGCGCTCGCCAAGCCGGCACCCGCGCCAAGGGTGCCGGCATTATCTAAAAAAGACTTCTCCTCCTTTCCAGATGTGTCTTTGTTTCCGCTTCCCGGTCTAAACAGGCTGAAGAACCCGCTGCTGCCGCGCTTCTCTTCCTCCTTGGTGCTCTTTTTGTCATCGTCCTTGACACTCTTCTTGTCGTCGCGGCTATGTCTCTTACGGCTGGACCCGTCCGATGCCACAGACTTGACATCGTCGTCTTCGTAACGGCTGCCGTTGGAGCGGCGATCAGACTTGCTACGCCGCGGTGTCGAATCGGACACAACAGAGCCTGTATCTTGGTCGTCGATCCTAGATCGATCTCGCCGCGATTTGGCAGGACGATCGTCCCAGTCGCCCACAGTTTTGGTGGGCGAGCTTCTCCCGCCGGCAGACACGTCCTCAATCTGCTTCTCGACATCAGTCCACTCGTCAGAGCTCTGCTTGGACTTTTTGGACTTTTTCTTCTTCTTCACTGGCGAGTCCAACGGGTCGTCGTCTTTCTCGCGAGGTTCTGTCGGACCAGTGTCGTTGTGCTCTGGCAGCTCCTCGCGATAGCTGCGTGGCTCCTCAACGATGATCTCCTGCGGCTCTTTCCCATCCTCCTGTACCACGACGATGTCGGATCTGGAAGACCGTTTCTTCTTCTTTTCTTTCTTGCTCAACTTCGTCGGGGCAGCGGCGTCGTCGTCTGCATTGGGTGTCTCAGATGATGCCGGCGCCTGGAAAGATGGCTCATCGCGGGAGCGTACGTAAGAGCTCGGCACCTCAGAAGGCTGAGAGTAGAGAGAAGAAGACTCGTCAAAGGATCTTGTGTCTTGGATAGAAGGCAGCTCGTCAAAAGAGGTGCCAGCGTAAGGAGAATCATCCAGGGATCGGGTGGTCGGGGGAGATCTTCGCTCTTCAGACTGGCGCCGAGGAGTTGGCTCGTCAGAAGAACGGCGGGGGTGGTGAGTTGGCTCTTCGTCAGAACGGCGGGAATGGTAAGTTGGCTCGTCAACGTAACGGCGGGAATCGTAGGCTGGCTCTTCAACGGGACGATCCCGGTAGGAAAACGACGGCGAATTCCAAAGCGGGTCGTCGAGAGGGTCGCGAACTTTAGGACCAACCGAAACGACGGTTGAAACAACGGTTGAGGGGCTCTGAGACCTGTCGTCGTTCCAATCGTGCTCGGGCGCCGTTTGTGAGAAAGGATCCAGTGGTGTTACCGCCTTTGATGCCTCCTCCGGCGCGCTCTCGACGCTTTGTCTCTTGGCGGCCTTCTGCTTGCGCTTCTCTTTCTTACTGAGCTTCCTACCAGGCTCAGATTCGTCGCCAGCAGGCTCTTCATGCAAGACTTCGGTCTCCTTGGATTTGCCCTTATCACGATACTTTCTGGGGAGAGTGTCGAAAGCAGCATGGCCGTTGTTCAGATCCTTCCCCACAGGAGTGTCTTGAACCTCGCCAATGACGTGGCCTGGCTCACGGGTGGCTGTGGGCTGCCCGATATTCTCAGGACCGTAGATTCCCAGGTCATTTACCGTCTCTACGTAAGGCTGCTGGTAGATTGGCTCATTCTGGCCCGGCGGACTATCACGCCGCATGTAGGTCGGGTTGTCAATGACAATGTTGGGGTCAAATCCAGTGTCTTGCAAGCCAGCAGCGAGGACGGACGCGAACTCCAAGTCGTCCGCAAACGCCCCGGGCATCTGAGAGGTTTGTGGACTGGACGGCTTCGGGCCTGGCGCAGGAGGCAAGTCATCCTCAAACGAGGTGATGACCTTGGGATGAATGGGTGAAACGATAGGCTCCGAGGAAGGCTCAACGACTCGGGACTTGGGAGACTGCGGTGGGCTGTGTCTGTCCCTGTCTTCCGTCGTCTTGTTCTCTTCGAAAGGATCGCGAACCTCGGAGGTAGCTGCCGCTGCAGCACCCGCTCCGCCGATGGCTGCGGCGATTACGTCCCACGGGGTGCTCTTACCGAAGCGCTTCTTCGACTTCTTGGGGGAAGTGGATGACGGCACGCTCTTTGGGGGCTCCGGGCTCTCAATCTCAAAACTCTTTGTCTCGTTCTCGCCCCAGGTCACCGACTTGGCGGTGGGCGTCGTCGGCCTCTCGACAACCTTTTGTTTTGGTTCCGGGACGACTTCAGGGGCAACATCCGCGGGAGTTGCAGTCACCTCTACGGATCTAGGCTTTGGCACTTCACGTGTGCTCTCCTTCGGCTTTTCGTCTTGTCTCGCTTCACGGTTCGCCTCCTTCTGCTGCTCAGGGGCAGGTGTGGCGCGGGGGGTGATATTAGGTGTAGGGAGGACGAGATTCAATAGGGGCCGCTCGCGCTCACAAGAGGGGTCGCGAGACCGGAAGATATGCGTGGAGCCAGGACCAAGCTGGCCTTCCGGTAGACGGAAACGGGCGAGCTCGTCTGGAATTATGACGTGGTCGATACGAACATCCGCATTTGGCGCGTCGTAGGGGCTCTTGTCGTGAGGATGGTCCATCTCCGGGGGCGTCACAATGGTGACAACTTCAGGTCGCCTGTCGTCATCGTACTTGCCTACAACAGACCCGTCGTGAGGCGAGGAGCTGCGGGAGCGAATTTCGTCCTCGGCAATCTTGCGAGCCAGGACGGTCTCCCGGTAATGCCTGTCGGCCTCTTCCTGGACGGCGTCTCTAGCAGCCTGGGAGCTGGTACGCGAGCCATCCTCGGTAACATGTTCACTACGATGTTTTCGCGATCTCTGTTCTTCTACGGCAATTGCAGAAGCAAGAGCGGCCGCGGCTACGGGCGCAGTGGCATGCTTGACCTCGTCGTAGATTGCCTTGGCGGCGTGCTTCTCCTCTTCGAACGAGTCTCTGCGACGGCGGGGTTCCGGCGTTCTCGAGCGGTCTCTGAAGCCTTGCTGGTACTGCTCCAACCTTTGCTCGAGCTCGAAAGAATCCTTGCGGCTCATTCGTGAATCCGAGTAATCGGGCTTCCTCGGGGGCGAATCGTCGAAATTAGGCTCGCGATCAACAGTTACGACCTGGGGAGTCAGCGGCCTCTTGGGCGTGGCGTTCTTGGGCGTCGCGTATTTCGGTGTTTGGAAAGCGTCGTCAGCGACCTGGAACTGGAAAGGGTCAATAGGGGCTTGTGTAAAGGGGACCTCGGGTTGCTCCACCCCATGATGATCTCGGGGTAAGTCAGTTTGCTTCTCTACCCGCTTCGCATCCCGGCGTTCTTCGACGACTTCCGGCTTACGCTCTTCTTTACGTGGCTCCTTGGGTTTCTCTCGGCGCTGTCGATCTTCCTCCGGGTCATACTCTACTCGGATTTCGTCACCTTTCGGCAGCCGGTACACCTCTGGACGGGCATCTGGGCGTGCTTCCGGCTTCTTGGTCGGCTCGGGAGGGGCATCAACGTGGGCGGCACGGTTCTTGTCTCGTTGGTCGATGATCTCGACGGGGCTGTGCCTATATGACCGGCGTTCGCTGCGATCGCGGCGTTCACGGTCGTCCATTTCAATTTTGACAGGCTGATCTACCCGCTCGTCTGGTCGACGGCTGGCCAGAGACTCCCGGGCGTCGTCTCGCCTCTCCCAGGCCTCCTTCCGGCGCTCGTCGTGACGTTGAACGTGATCGGCAGAGTCCCTACGGTTAGCCATGGCCACGCCAATGGCCGCGGCTGCGGCCCCAGCACCGGCGATGGCTGTCTCGACAGGGATCCTACCAGGGCTCCTGCCCGTGGGCGTCTGACGCTTGAAAGTCCGGGGCTCTACATATCTGTCCGCATCATAAACCTTGGATGAGACCGGGACGATGGGTTTAGGTTGCTGCAGGGGAACAGGGGCGGGTCGGGACTGTTGTGGGAGGTCTTGCCTAGACGCGGTCACAGAAGCGCGGTCAAAGTCAAACTTGTCTGGGTCTGAAGTTGGCACGGGATACACATGCTGCATCGGCTGCTGCACTGGCTTCTTCTCGGTCTTGGGTGACTGGACTTGCGCTACGGTTTCCTCGTGATGACGGCGGAACGAGCCTGCAGATCGAGGGTCGTCCTGTTCGCCAAAGCCACAGGGACTCTTTACGGCGCCGCGGAGGGAGTTGTAAGGGCCGAAGAGACGCGGGTCGACGACGGTGTTCTTCCGTCCGGGCGGCTGGATCTGCTCAGGAGGCTCGGCCGAGATCCTGGCAGACTTGGACGGCTTGTCAAAGCCGTAAGCCAAGCCGCCGCCATCTGAGCTGTCGGAACTATCCGTAGACGATTCATCCTCAGACGCGGATTCCCAGTCGTCGTCGGAGGAAGACTCCTGCACTTTCGAAGAAGGTCCCGCTTGACTCTTACCGTCGGCTTTATGATTGCGGAAGTGACCAAAGGCAGCGGCTGCACCGGCTATACCGGCGGCACCAGCCAGCTGGGACGCACGGGACTTGCCGGCGGCACGCTTGTCGGATTCATTCTGCCTCCTGGCAATGTCCTGCAACTGGCGGCCAATCTCGAGGATTTCTTCATCGTCGGTCTTGGGCCGCGACTCAGCCGGCGGTGGTGGTTGCTGACGGACCTCAGTAGGCGCAGGCTCATTCCGATACATGGCGGGACTGGCATAAGCAGAAGCCGCGGGGGTTGGACCCTGGCTCTTGTCGCGTTCAATGTAGCCGCGGCCGTAGGCCAGGTCGGAGTTGACCGAGGACGAAGACGAGTTCGTGGCAAAGAAGATACGAGCCTTTTGCTTCTTCCTCCGCCGTCGCTCACGCTGCTCCGAGGGGGCCCTCCAAAAAGTGCTAAAGACACCGCCGAACCGTGGAGCCTTGGCCGAAACGTTGAGGAGGGACGACGAAGTGGATGACGAGGCGGACGAACTCGAGCCGCCGCGCGGGCGCGTTTTCGCAGGCTCGGTGTATGCCGATGCTGATGCTTGAGAGCCGGCATATCGATCGCGGTCGGCATATTGTTGGGGGGGTTCAGAATATCTCTCAGCTTGGGCGTATCGCTCGGGTTCTGGGTATCTCTGGGGGTTCCCGTACGGTTGTTGCTGTTGGTATTGCTGATGATGTTGTGGTTGTTGTTCGTATCGCTCAGGTCTCGGAGCGTAGCTTTCATGATCGGGGTATCTTTGGGGTTCGGCGTAGGATTGGGAGTATTGCGACGGGGAGTATGTCTGGGGTTGGTATTGGTATTGTTGCTGCTGCTGCTGCTGCTGCTGCTGCTGCTGCTGCTGCTGCTGCTGCGAATAAGGGTATTGCTGTGGTTGAGCAGAAGGGCCTGGCATGCTGGATACGGTGGAGGGGGCGGCGGCGGCGGAGGCAAGCTGTTCGCGAGAATCACGCCGGTCCTTTCTTCGCCGCCTAGAGCTCTCCGGGCTCCGGCGACGTGGATCACCACGCATCATGGTTGAAGCGGCGATTGGGACCCCGTGGTGCGCATTTGTCGTGGATTGGTATGCGCGCGATTGATTGACGGGATAATTAAGTGTACAGTTGCTAGATGTATGCGCGGGGTCCTTCAAGTCGGCGCAACGATGTTCGAGGGGCTGTTGCAAGGCTGATTGCGATAATCTGGCGATGTTATTGTTTTGTTTTTCACAGTAAGCAGCGGCCGGGACAAGCCGTGAAGCTCATCCTGGGGGTTCAGAAGATTGGCAAAAAAAGGCCGGGTGGGGGAGGAGGGTGGCTGGGGATCTGTTCTGGGACGATGGGTGGGTGGATGGTTTGGATGGTTTGGATGGTTTGGATGGTGGAAGAGAAGGGGTAAGGGTCGCCGGGGGGGTGGTGCTGGGTGCTGGGTGCTGAAAACGCAGCTGCAATCTGCACTAACCCAGACTTGTCGGGCCAACCTCGCTGCTCGTAATCGGCCAGGTTCAGGGTCCAGGGTGGGAGTAGCGGACGAGTCTGCTTGGACAGGCTTGGGGCGAGTTGGAGCCTTTTGGGGGAGGCATGGAGGGGGGACCTGGACCTGATGCTGAGTCCACTGTAAAAGTTCCAGCAGCACCTGAGTCCGCCCGCGACGGGACAAGGCGAGACGACATGTTCGCTGCGTAAAATTGGCAGCCGGGGACCAGGAGAAGCGAGGAAACAGCCAGGATTGGTTGAAACAAGAACCCCCCCCCCCCCCCCCCCCCCCCCCCCCNGTTAAAAAAAAACCCCCCCCCCCCCCCCCAGCAGAGCCAAGCTGCCGACATCCCTGTCTCTAGGCCTCCGAGCTCAAGCTACGGATACTGCTCACTTCCAGGTTCCATCCATGCTGCAATACTTTGTACCACGGATATGGCGCCGTCCTGTCTGCCTGTTGTTCGAGTCTCGACTCTTGCGTACGACAGACGCTGGCCATCACCACATCACGGGCGGCTCGAACCACATCGACCATAAACCCTTCCTCGACCACCATGAGCAACGGCAGCAAAGACGCATCACGAATCCTCGTCACCGAGCAGGCAGCCCCCCGAGTCTCAGACCTCAGATGACAGCACACCTCCCACACTGCCGTCCGCCACACTCGCACACCCACCACTCGCAGCAGAGAGGGACAGAGACACACCCGGCTTGCTGTCTGTGACTCTCAACTCTCTTCCCGTCCCGCGGGTGTGTCTCTCAACCTCTGATCGGTCAGAAACAGACCAGCTCGCTGAGCCGGTGCCACCGAGTGCCACTCCCGCCCTCCCCTCCAATCCATGTGGGGATCAGCTCTCGACTCGCCCCCTCCATGTCGCCATGTGCAGCTCTCATTCAACTGCACCACCACCACCACCACAGCTGCGACTTCATTCCTTGCCAACGCATCTTTACCGCCTCTTCCCGATGCTGTCCCTCTCTTTTCTTCTCCCACGACGCTGCCTGTCGCCGGAGACCGCCCTACCCGATTCACTCGATGCCAAAAGAGCCGCCGTACACTGTCTGGCCCATCCCACCCTGTCCCGTCGCAATCGCACAACATCATAGCGCCGCCAGGGATCTTCATCGTGCTGCTGCCGCCTACTGCATCTTGCCCTTCCCGGTCACCTGCGGCAACACGTGTTACCACTCTTGCTACCACCTCCTGCGCCCTGGGAGATTACACTCGCCAGCCCAAGGCCACGGCCATGATTCGCACCTCCTCCGTGACTGCTATGCCCTGTGATTGGCCCTTTGTGTTTGCCACGGCTGCCGCAACATTGGCACGTCGGCTATCACGCCGCCGCGTCTGAAAATACCGACACATGTACCGATTGCTGCACGATTGCAAACGCCATAGGCGCTTGACCAGTGGTATTTGTTTTTAATCCATCCTGAGGCACGAGTCCACTGCCGGGGCTAACATCCATCATCTTGTCCATCGAATTTTGAGTGTGGCGCTGCCAAGCGCCCAGCTAAGAATGCTTTGTGATTCAAGACATGCCCGTGTCAGCTGGTCGACTCGGACGGCCGTCTTGGTTCGCCGGGATCCACCCGGCCCTCCCGGTGTAATGTGGGTCATCGGGGGTAGGTCCGGCCCGGGGTCGGACATCCCTAGGTCGCCGTTGCGCGTGGTTGAAATGGTGATAGAAGTCCGTGCCTTGAATTTCCGCAGTTGTCTGGCGATTGGACTCACTTTTTACGGCTTTTCATTTGCAACAATCTGTATTGACTGCCCGTTGAGCACCCTGCTCAACGACAGTAAATTCACCTGCCAGATCACGGCCAAGCGCAACATCCAGAACTGTGCCTGATATGCGTTCAGGGCATTGACTACAAGCACCACCAGACGCGCGTCGTCTTTGTAGGGTTTCACCGTCTGTTGGAGCAGTCGGAAACAGGGACAGCTTAGTTCTAAAATCCGGGGCAAAAAAGTGCGTTCAAAAACCCTCATTGGCCTCCATGCATGTAAGGCAGAATGATATGACGTTCCAGAGAACGTCTGTCATGATTTATTCATCCTGTGACCGCTCACCAAAATTTTAAATGTTACATCAATAACTTTCAACATCCATTGGCCTTCGTGGGGGCAATTCTCTGTAGCCCTTGGCTTCGTATTCGGTTGCTAGCTAGACCTGCAGAGTCAAGTCCAGATTCATCACTCCGTTTGACGTTCCCGTTATCGTACCTCTAGTCTTGTCTGTACGTAAGTGAGTGCTTCGCCTGAGCAACCCATGGAGTTCTCAGGAAAGGCACATTTTTGGTCATGGTATACAACGTGTTGCAAGAACCGTGAAAGATTTTATCGGGTTGACCAAGATATCCTGCAATGAATCAGATGCTTAGGTAGGCTTCTAGTAAGATCTCCTGAAGACCATTTATTAAACTAGGGCGAATACGAGCTATGTACTTGGCTTGAATTGGTATCGAGAGGCACGTCGGCGCAATCAAAATTAGTCACATTCCACGTTGTACTCAAGCCAAACGTCGTTTTCAGCTACCCGATCTAAAGGCAGCAGCAAACAGGAGGTCGATAGTACTTTTCCTCCGTGGACTTCAGAAATCTGGTCCTTTATTGATAGATACACGTCGGACATACGCGCAATTCGGCCGCTCGGGTTCAATGCCTTTCCGAGACAGAATGGCTGTGGCGTTTGCGAGGGGGGACATGTCTCTGACAATTGAGCACTCTTCGGTGTTTTACCTGGTGAGTCAATACAACTACCATTCTTCAGACCAGTCATTCATTAGCCGAATAGCGTAGGACTCGCTGCTGATATAGTTCACCTAGCAGATGATAGTTCTCAATGCGTTCGTGACAGTCAACAGTCCCACGACCGTGGCGACCATGGACCTAGAGACGGCCATGATCAATCAGATAGAGGATGATAGCACATTTCCTTAGAGGGAATTCGGAGACCCAAACATAAAGAGAAGTTGAGTTTTCTAGAAGAAGAGGTTAATTCTCCCTAGCCGCAAAGCATAGTTACAGTCGCTTTCCCAAGCGACTGTTTCAAAGCCACGTAATTCTACCTATTCCACCCAAGTTTCTGTGTATCTAAAGTGCCTGACTGACATTAACAGCATGTGGGAATCTCAGAACTGTAGACAGCTTTTCGGTACCAGTCTCAACCTTGACTCCTCGAGGCAATATCTTAACGGAGCAAGCGAACTCCTCCGACTTAAAGTGAAGGATCAGATACGGGAACCTCTGGATCACTGTCATCATACGTGGAACATCACTATCAGTCCACAGAATCGACACTGCGTGCACCCCATCTCGCTCGTCTATTGCAGTGCTTCTCGTGGCCACTGAGGCTGACACCACGGGGCCTCATTGATCACCAGTTGAAAATAGAGCCACTGTCAACATGCTTCTCCAGATCCAGTCGGAAATTTGACACCCGTACACCTTCCCAGATGGCTCGATAAAACAAGGTACATGGCATGATCTTAAGTTCAAACTGATTATGGGTAAGAAAACGAGAACATCTCCACAGCCTCGTCTGCTTGGACAGGTTTACCCCAACACTTGGCCAACAGTTGAGCTGATACAGACGGCGACTAATCGCTCCAGTGCTAAAACTGGTGGATTTCAATCCATAAGACTATGCGTTCATCAAGGTCCAGCGAAGAGTGCCAACTTGCTGTTCTCTATGAGTTCTACCATCAACACGGCCAAAAACGATCGGAGCTCGTGTGTATCACTAGAAGTTGAGAAAGTCGCATCATGCAAGCTTTCTACAAAGAATATAACCCAAGAAGCCATTCGCTATGCATTATGCAGAACACATCAATTGTGGTAGGTCGCATTCGGGCTGCATGTGTCGCCTTCGACTAATGTCGAGTATCGGCAAGAGAGGGGCTTCCCCGAATGGTGTATGCGAGTGGCAAGAGAGAGAGAGGGGTCCCGAGGAAACACCAGATGTGGACTTTGCGGGACAAGAGCGGGACGGGTCGCGGGGAGGATCAGACAACGGTGAGTTTTCCAACGCAAAACCGAATGCAAGATGGACTGGTATTCTCCAATTTTTTGATGCTGGATCAACCGAAACTGTCTCAGTTGCGTATGCTGAGCGTTGGAGGCGAGGCCAATCGCCGTTTGTCACTTTAACCAAACTACCTTGGCACCGGCATGCCTTCCCCTCAATTCATCGTCATGAGACGCATGCGTACACCCAAACGTCTTGCGTACAACGTCGACAGGTGTCTTGTTCGTCGACAGACTCGACTGATTTGGAAGCACGGCGAGTAGTTGCCGGGACACCGAGATCAAGCCGTCTCGACGGTCCAATGAGAATCCCTCCGCCGTCACTTATACGTTCATGGTGGGGGACATTCGTATTGCGTGTACAAGTTTGTTACAATCTTGGATAACCTTTTCCTCGTGTGACTGGTATCGAGATCTGAGATATATGTCTGAGGAACAGGCCCTCGCGAGCACCGAATGCTACCCCGCTCCCAGACTCACATCTCCTGTGACTTCATCACCTCACCAACAGCATCTTGCTTGCCAAAACCGTAGTCTCAAACAGATTTGAAGCACCATGAACCCAGACGCAGAAAAGGTCAGCTATAGCCTCTTCTCCTGTATCGGAACCGGCTTCGCTGCTATTGCCCTCGGGGCACAGCTCAAACGGTGGTATGGAATCGAGGACATCCAGTTCTTTGAGCGTCACAGCTCGCT